AGAAGCCAAATACTAAGGCCCCCACATTTCCAACTCATTCTCTGGAGACCCAATCCTTTCCTTCTCAAGACTGAGACCATTAGTAAACCACAGGGCCTTCCAAACCCAATCTAAACACTGAGGTCTCTCAGCTACTACCACAATCAAAATTTTACTTCCCCACAAAAACCATCCCACATGAAACACCGGCTTACAGGAAGGTTGAAGGTTCCAACCATGACATAGCTGTTGGCATTCCGGTCATGAACAGAGGCCCCAGGCCCCCGAGTACCAAGTGTGGGTCCCCCGCCATGGGTGGCTGAGGCAGATCCTGTCCCAGAAGATGCCCCCGAGGGGAGCTGAGTCTGAGGAGGAGCACGTTCTACCAGGTGAATAACCTTTCCCCCAACATCTGCAAAAATAAAAAAGATACACACCAAAACATTTTGTGATCAGTTAAACCTATGATTTCAGCTCATCCTTCTGGGCAGCTGCCTCAAACTCAGAACAGGCCCCCCCTACCCTCTTACTGTATTCCTGGAGCTTCTTATCATCCTGCAGAACCCGTCCCTGGTAGATAAGCCGTTGTTTCTCAGAGGGGATGCTGACAGAGGCAGCAATATGCTCCTTAAATTCCTTTACATTCATCTGTAAAGAAAGGGCACAAACAGGTAACAGCAAACGTAGGAAAGAGGAAGGACAAAAGAGGGACAACTGACTCGTGGAGATGAGGGGTAAAAACCATCCCATCATAAAATCACTTGTCTTGATTGTGAAGTAATTACTGCACAAACCCCCAAACTAAGACAACTCTTGTCAAAATACAATAAATATAATAAAGTTCAATTCTAGGCCTAAGAGAAAATTACATGGCTGAGAAACAGAAAAGTCAACTGATGGTCCCTTCACTCCTCTGCCTAGCTCCCAAGGGAATGTGTATCTAAAGGTATGAGTGACTGCTCCCCAAACACAAAATGATACAACTCTAGTTCCAAAGATAAAAGCAATGACAAGAAAGATGGGGTGGACAATATGATTGGTTCAGGAAGGAAGACTAAACAAAGAAAACACAAAAGAGAAAAATATTCCCTCTAACTAAACAACTCTTAGGAAGATTCAGGCTGTTTACACACACCTAATCACAAAAGCCTATATGGTTTCCTGAAATATATCTAATGTCACACTTTAAAAACCATGGGCCAACCCCTCACAATTTTGTCTCCCAGTATTAGAGTAGTAATGACATAGCTGTGCCCACATTTTCAAGCTAAAAAGATTCATAATATGCCACAAAACTTAGTAACTCAACTCAATGGTCTATTAAGCCTCTACCTACATTACCAGCCCTAATTTCTCACCTTTAAAAACAAAGTATAGCCCTGGCTGGTGTAGCTCAGTGGACTGAGTGCAGGCCTGTGAACCAAAGGGTCAAGGGTTCCATTCCCAGTCAGGGCACATGCCTGGGTTGCATGCCAGGTCCCCAGTAGGGGGTGTGTGAGAGGCAACCACACACTGTTGTTTCTCTCCCTCTCTCTCTTTCCCTCCCCCACTCTAAAAATAAACAAATAAAATCTTAAAAACAAAGACAGTATAGCCTTGACAAATTTTTATCTTTAAGTCATGCTTGTGTTTGGGGTCTGTGTGTTGTTTTCCCTTCCCAAAGGCAGAAAACATGCCTATCTCTTTGAGCTGGGGTTCACTTATGCAATCATGATAGCATCAAGATTCCCTCCTTCCTCCATATTTCCCTCTACACTGAGTTCTGCTGAGGTGGAGGAAGGAAGAACAAAATCTACTTCATTCAATAGAAGCCAATACCTTATTGCTCAGCAGTATCAGAAAATGTTTTGCCTAGAACATGAACAAAAGAATTAATGAAAGAAAATTGAGGACCAGAAAACCTTCTCCCAGGCTAAGGGGCACACAAGAGAAAGAGTTAATGGGTGCCTTCCAGAAGCACTGGGGTCTCACCTGGGCCCCCACAATAAAGGTCCGAGTTTGAGAGTCCAGGGTCTTCACCAGCACCTCCAGGCTGTCAGGCTCCTCCACTGTGGTACTGGCACTATTATTGGGTTCCATGGCCAACAGCTTTCTAAGGGAGAATAGAGAGAGGCCCACTGTCGCCCAAAGCTGATTTTATATACCCAGAAGCCTCCCCGGCCCGAGTCTCCGCCCCAATACCTAAAGAGTTTCTCCCACACAAGCACAAGCACAAGCACACCCCCACCCCTCTTCTGATTCCGGGGCACATGGAAATAAACGCAAAGTGCAGGAGACCGACGGGAAAGGAAGTTGGGCGACAGGAGGTGGGAGGGGCTCCAAGATGCCCATCACAAGCGAGAGCCAGTGGGGCTAGGAAGCAGGGAAGAAAGCACAATTCCAGTGTCATCAGCGGTCGCGATAGAAAGGTCCCAGAAACCCTGGGATGCTAGAAGCGGGGGGCTGGGGAGGGGGGGTCGCACTACATTCTGCGAAGAAAATGGTTTCGCGCACGCGCGTCACACCACAACCATTGAGCCCGCCTGTCACCACAGACCCAAACTGACGGACACTCACGGGGGGCCAGACCGGCTAGCTGACTGCCCCCCTCTTCTGCCTTCTTCCAGGGCTCCAGCAGAACGTCGCAATCAACACACACCAAATACACACACCACCACCCTGCGGCTCCACCCACGACTTCCCCACGGTGCCATCACTTCCGGTCACCTCCAACTTGCCACCGACGGTCACTTCCGTTTCCCCGACAGTATTTGGAGATCGCGAGGCGGAACTTCCGGCTCCCCCCAGGTTCCCAAGCCTCACTTTCGTGGGGCACGACTGAAAAGTCCGCGGCCCCAAACAGTGAGTTCCGGAGGACGAGACGGGCCGGGGCCGGCCTAGATGGGAGGGAGCCGAGCACCCCGAGGAGCCGCCACTGCTGCCGTCGCCCGGGGGACCGTACTGCGTCTGCGTGCGTCGCATTACGCATGCGTACACACTTAGACACTGCCCCGCCCTCCCTGGCGCGATTTATTTCCCCTGTGCGTGAGCTTGTACAGTAAGAGGTTGAGGTGGCCATTATAAACGCCTGAAAAAAATTACCAGGTGAGACTCTGTAACTGCCTTAGGAGGCTTTGGACAGTTGTTATGGATCTTGGAGTCTCGGGACTGGGGATTGTGCCTCGTTAATCTGCATTTAAGTCTTGGCCTGCAGAGACTTTGAGGCGGTACAGTCCTAGCCACCTAAAATGCCGTCTTCCTCGCACTCTTGCCCTCGGTGCTTCAGTACTTCGGCGCCTCCGGAAGTCGCCCTTTCCTACGGTTGGGGCTGGTTCGCGAGCTGTCCTGCGTGCGGTCGCGTGGTTGGGCCTACTCGGGTTTTGTCCGGCGGGCCTTTTGCGTAGTGTGGGCGCCATGTTCTTCACAACGCATTGCCCAGCCGAATCGACACGCCATGTTTTTGAGAAGCTAAGGATTTGCTACCTATCAGGACTTTTGTCCCCCCGCCCCCCAAAAAAAGTTTGCCTCCAAGTTTGGGAATTGGGAGCAAATGAAGTATGACCTGACCGAAACACTAGACTCTGTGGGAAATTGAATGGGCCGCCAAAGGGCTTCTGCAGACTGGGGTCCTGGGGTTACTGCCTCATTGCCCTCTTCCACCCCCACCCTGGGCCCCGCAATGCTGTTACTCTTTTACCCAGACACGTCACTGCTCTGGTGTCCAGCCTTTTGGGGATCCTTTGTACCCAGGCCCAGGAGTCTTTCAGTTAGGAGACCTAATACGCACCCATTTCGTGAGCACTTAGTTTGTACCAGCCAGTTTCCTAAAGTTTGTAACAGCCAGTTTCCTAAAGGTTGTACGTACCGTCACATTTAAAAGCCTTTCAGCATCTGGGGTAGTTACATCCACTTTATGAGTACATCTAGCAAACTAACAAATCCAGGCCTACCAGACTCATCTGGCTCAAGCGCTTCTACCTTACTGCCCCAGTACATTTTTTAGTGTGTGTTTTTTTTTTTTATAAAAAGTGTCAAAACATCACCCCAGAATGGAACAGTATAATGAAACCTCATATACCCTAAGTCCTAAGTCTCACTTCTCAGGGCAAAAAAAAAATTTTGGCAATCTGAGTTACATTACAAATAATTAAAAGGAAGCCCCCACCTTCACTGCATTAACTCCGCCGCCCCCGCCCCCCGCCACTTGGCACTATCTAGTGACTATCTTGACAATTTTTTCCTTACCTCCTATTATTTGAGAACGTATTGGCCACTGGAAACTAAGTGCTTTACAAACATTAATTTCAGCAAATGTTTAGGCTTGATGTGTAGGCTTTTGCAAAGAGCTTTATATGCATTATCTCTTAATTCTGAGATTATGATTTACTCACAGGTGAAAGAAATAGACATACAGATTGTCTAATAAGTAGTAGAGTGAGGGTTTGAACCCATTGCCAGACACCAAAATCGATCCTCTTTAATAGTCTCTTACTCCTAGTAATAAACATTGAGTGAATGGACTGTGTGTCAGTGAGCTTTTCTTCCTAGTGTACATAGTTTGCCCAGTTATAAACTTCAGAGAAAAAGCTACCTATCAGCCATGTCCCAGCACTTGGTTCATACTGTTCTAATGCACTTAATCAAATTGTATTACAATGATTTGTTTACACAGCTAGTTTTCCATAGATTGCCTTCAAGGTCAGGGACTGTATCTTAATCATTTTTATGTCCCAAGTCTTAGCCAGTTCCTGGCAAACAGCTGGGACTCAAAAACCATTTGGTAAGTGAGTGAATGAATCAATCCACCTCTCTTCAGTGCTGCACAACACAGCAGATGTCCAGCTCAGATCAACATCACAGGCTCTACCTGGAGAGCCCAGCTTTTCTGATAATTCCCAAGAGACCCTGGACATGCCAGGGTGTATTGTGGAATGGCTGCATCTAGAAGAGGGGGAGAGAGGGTCAAATACTGTAAGTAATCTATGTTTGGAAAACAAGGTTGAAGTTACTCATTAGCAGGTGAAAGGGTCAAGGATCAAGGCAAGGGGGCTGGAAGCAGAGTGGACTCAGCAGCCAGCAGGGGAGAACAGTTAAGGCACCAGCCACTCCACAAAGAACACCAGCTCTGAGTTGCATGAAGATGTTCCACCAAATTTGGGCAGCTCTGCTTTATCTCTATGGCATTCTCCTTAACTCTGTCTACCAGTGCCCTGAGCACAGTCAACTGACAACTCAGGGAGTGGATGGAAAAGAGGTATGTATGGACTAAGAATGGGAGTAGCTTCCAGTGGGGGTTCTGAGGGACTTGAGTGGGGGGCCTAGAATGAAAAAAAGGCCTAGAATAACCAGAAGCCACATTGGGAAAGGAAGAGAGTGTAAGTACTATGAAGATGAAAGCAAGGATAAGTAAAAATATGTAAGTACTTATGGCCATCAATGTGGAGACATGGTAGAATTGGGGGCAGGGGTTACTCAGGTTACTGAGCATAGGCAAAAAGGAAAAGTCATTTAATGACTCCCTGTCATGGATCTAAGCCCCAGTTGGAAAAAGGCAGCCAATACCTCCACCCCTAAGTCTTGCTGTTATGACAAAGACGTTGCATGAATCCTGCAGTGGGACCAACCCTCTTATGTTCCCCTTGTCTCTCCAGTTCCCAGAGCCCCACCTGGGCCAGTGGTACTTTATTGCAGGGGCAGCTCGCACCAAAGAGGAGTTGGCGACTTTTGACTCTGTCGACAACATTGTCTTCAACATGGCTGTGGGCTCTGCCCCGACGCAGCTCCAGCTTCGTGCTACTATTCGCACGTGAGTGGTAAGGGGGCAGAGGCACCAGTAGGTACAGTCTCTGCTCAAGGTGTGAGCACCTACCTGTAAAGAGCTGGGTTCTTTTGCATGTCCACTGTTCTCAGCCCACCTGAGTTCATAGACTCTATTAGTTTTCCTTTGCAGAGAGAGGGGCCTAACCATCCCTTGGCAGCCTGAAACCCAAGGCAACCTGGGCTTCAAGGAATAAGAGGGAATAACTGTTGGTACTGTGTGACTGAGGTGTCACTCAGTCTTTCCTCCTTGCCATCACCACCTCTTCAGGAAAAATGGGTCCTGTGTGCCCCGGGAATGGATCTACCACCTGACCGAGGGAAGCACAGATCTCAGAACTGAAGGTTGGTTCTCTCCAACCCTCCGTCTCCCCAAACCCCCTGGTTTGCTTGATCTTGCATCTCTGTCCTCATTCTTCCCCCCACCGACCCATGCTGACAGGCCGCCCTGACATGAAGACCAAACTCTTCTCCAGTTCATGCCCAGGTGGAATCATGCTGAAGGAGATGGGCCAGGGTTACCAGCGCTTCCTCCTCTACAGTGAGTGAGGCAAAAGGCAGGATGGGTTGGAAGGAAACACAGGAGAGGGAGGAAAACCCCTTACTCTAGGTCCTGTAACATCATTCCAGGGAGGTCTGGGTGCTTCCCAGGAGGTCCTCACCAGGGTGGGGAGCTAAGTAGAGGTTTTGATGGGCCTGGCCCTGCTGTGCCCTTCCAGATCGCTCACCACATCCTCCTGAGAAGTGCGTGGAGGAATTCCAGTCCCTGACCTCCTGCCTGGATTTCAAGGCCTTCTTACTGACTCCTAGGAAACAAGGTGAGGGGGTAAAGTCCCACAGAAGAGAAATGACTCACCAAGTCTTCTGTGGGTGCTGGTTGAAAGGGACTCAAGTGATGTCACCAGAGGGCAAGACCAAAGGCTGGTATCATCAGATTGGCAGTGCTCACACCTCCATTTGTGTCATAGGTGGAGATGGCCCCAGAGGGGCTATGGGGTACTCAAGAGAGGTTTCTGGGTTTGCAGTGGATAAAGGGGGCAGAGTCAGACACAGGAAGGAAAATAGGCCTCAGAGACCCCTTTGACAGGGGAGGAATGAGGGAATGCATTCTCTCCCACCCATTACTAGCAACCTTGCTTCTCTTCCTGAATTTCCTTCCTTTCCATCCTTTTCTTCCTCCTCCCACCAGGAGTCTGTAACCAATCCAGTAACTGACCTGTGGCTACATATGTGCCCCCAGATGGATTCATTGGGAGCTAAGGTAGTGGTGGGGGAGAAGAGAGCCGAAGAATCCCTCTCAATAGCAATAAAGATTATTTTTCCATCCTCATCTCATGTTGGGGTTTTTCTCCAGACATCAATCCCACTCCAATTTCAAAACTCCCCCTGAAACTTCTACCACCTAAACCCGCAGCTGGATGGTGTCAGGATGGACACTGAGTGGCACTAACTCACTTTGTAGTGGTATATTTAGGATTTGGTGTGACACATTGACTTATTGCTGAGTTAGCAACCCCTAACCTCTGTCTGGGGACTGCAGTGCTTCCCCACACTGCTGCCTGGGCTGTCAGTTCCTAAGCCAGTCCTCCTGCCAGTACCGCCTGCACCATCCCCACTCCTTCTGGTTCCCAGGAACACCACATTCCTGCAAGCTCCCTGTCACTTGTGTACCCCATCCAGGCCCCAAGTCCAACCACCTAAGAGCTCCTCTCTTCCCTAGATGTCCCAAGATCCAAGGGACCCCTTGGTCTCCCAACCACCCTCTTACCCCAGCCAGAGTTCTGCCTGTCCCTGGGGAGTCTTGAGAGGTAGAAAGGACCCTTTAGTCTTTATTTTCCACCACCACACTCTTTGTTTTTTTGCTTTTACAAAGTGAAGGTAAAAAAAAAAAAAAAAGAACGGAAGGTGGGAGAAATATAAAATCAAAAAATAACAACAGCTGGTGAATACAAGGGCCATGCCCCCACTGTCCATAAACCTGAACAGCTCTTCTTTCCTATGGGTGAGGTGGAGGCCTGTGCCCTCATACTCTAGGGCTTCTTTCCTATCCCTGAGGTCCCTGTGCTTACAATCTGGGTCATGCCCCTCACTCTCCTCCTAAAGGCCACACTGTCTTCACTTTTGCTCCCGGTCCACTGAGTGGGGAGCCCTGGGTCACACCCTACTCTGAGGTCACAGCCCCTTTCCTGGGTCTCCCCTCTGCTCCTCACCCTCCCTCCCCAACTTCTCACCCTCCAAGTCAGTGTCTTCCTCATTCCCGCTGGACTCCCGGAGGCTAACAGCCAGCACCAGGGCCTGTAGGAGACCAAAGAGGCAGGCAAAGTGCAGGGGGTGAGCAGTAAGTAGGCTCAGCACAGCGTGGAGCCCATGCAGGGCAGCCAGGAAGGACAGCAGCCCATGAAGCCAGAGGCCCAGGGGCCCACTCAGGCCCAATGCGTCCAAGGCTGCCCGCAGTGGCCGTGAACACAACCCCAGCAGGGCTGAGGCCAGTAGCTCCAGCAAGTGCAGGGTCAGGTTGGTAGAGATCTGCAGGCACTCCTCTGGGCCCCCCAGGTATTGCAAGGGAGCCCCTGCTCCCCCACCTGGTTCCCCCCGCAGCCAGCCCAGCAGCTTCTGACGCCGCTGCCAGCTGGGCTTCTCCACTGGCGCTTCAGGCCCAGGGGGGTCCAGTCCCCCTTCAGGGGACACTCCAGATTTCCTGGTGCCACCTGAGTCCACAGGATCCCATCCCAGTTTGGAAATAGTCTCTGCAGCCTCCAGTCTTCCAGCTTCTTGAGTGCTGGTGCTAGTCTTGACCCTCTTGAAGGAATCCATTCTTCTGCTCCCCAGTTGCTCAACTTGCGTCCCCCTGCTTGGTCCTGGAGCAGCTCCAGAACTCCAGGCCCCTGAGTCCTTCGTCTTGGGAGGCCCCACCTCTCCCATGGTTTCTGGTGCGCTGTCCCAGTCACTCCCTGAATTCTCAGAGGAACTGTTCACCTGACTGGGTTCTGTGGTGGGCAGGTCAGGCCTGGGTTTCCTGTGGCCCCAAGGGCGAGGCAGCCAGCCACCAAGCCGTCGGAGGAACATAACTGGAGTGCGTAATGAGCCCCCAAATTCTGGGGCCCTCACTGCTCAGGCTTGGGGATTGAGGGGCTCCTCAGAAGACAGAGTCTATTCAGGCTCAGAAGAGCAGGTATCTGTTTGGAGAATCGTATTCTGAATTCAGAAGTGGCTACCCACTTCCCTGAATAGTCGTGAAGCCTCCAGTGGGGCAGGCGGCTTGTTTCCTTTTCAGTTGTAAGATAAAGGAAGGAGGCACATTCAAATTCATTCACCACCACCACCACCCCACACACGAGTCCAAGACTCAGGATCTGATAAGGTCCAGGTCACCCCGACAGTGTCCTCCCTGTTTCCGGATTTCCTTCCCAGCAAGCAGTACACTGAGTTTCACTCACCAAGGCCACGCCCCAAGGTGTCCCCAAAACTGGGGACGCGGTACTCCATCATGAAGGAAGGTAGCTGGAGGATCACCCCGGTCCTAGATGCTCCCGAAGTGGGGGTTCCTGAATGGCTGGCTTAAAGGATCTTGGTAATAGGAATCCTCCTATTGAAAGGAGGAGGGAAGAGTTCAGGGAACTCCAGCCAGCAGGTTCGTCCCTTGAACTAGATGGCCATGACTCCTACAAAGCGGCTGGATGTGCCCCAAGCACGCAGCTGAGACGCAACCTCCGAAAGGTCAGGCCAGAGGCGTCCTCAGAGATCTCAGTGGCGAGGCAAAGCGCCGGACCCAGGCGTTGGGGTGCTGCAGGCTGCTGTTGCCCCTCCTCCTAGGCCCAGCATCGGTGCTGCGGCCTCACCAAGCCGTCCGGAGCACCCAAGTCCGGAAGCAGCTGCACTGGGGCTGAAGGACCGTAGGGGCGGAGCCAGCAACTCGCAGGAAGGACTCTGCGGAAGGCCCGCCCGTCGCGTCATTAGTGCGTAATCAGCCGACCTCAGCGGCCCCCAGAGCCAATGTATCAACCTAGCCCTCCATTTTCATCACTCAGAACCCCCCCGGGAGTCGCCCATGTCTCCCCAACTCGCCTCCCCCCCTTGGCCCCCTGCCTTGGAGTCTTTTCCCCCAACCCCCACCACTGGTCTTCGTACCCATGAATTTACCAAGAGCCCTTCCGGAAATAGCTGAGATTTGGTACTTGAGAAGCTGCCCCTGCTTCTCCCTGCAGATTTTACTTCCAGTTTGTCAAGTGAGCTCACTTGCCTGGCATCAGGTGTGAGCATTAAGAGAGGGGAGTGTGGGAAATACAAGTGCAGACTTATAGGATGTGCTTCCTGCCTCCAGTTTTCAGGTAGTGAAATATAAGAATCCTGGCTTAAAGTTTAGATTTGCGACGCCAGAGTTCCGGTGCCAGTTTAGCTAACAATACAGGCTGGATCTTATGCTTTCCCACCACACTGGCCTCTTCCTACAAGACCTTATCCATCTCATTACCCCTTGTGAGCCTGCTGTACCTCCCGTCACTATGCACTATTTTACCACATGGCTTTGTCCTCCTGCAGCTGGGAGCAACTTGAAGGTTGGGGATGTCTCTTAGTCCTAGTCTTAGCACACAGTATACATCTTTTGATTGAATGAGCTGAAGTGATCAGGGAGACAATCCCTTGGGGAGGTGAGACTTGCGTACAGCTGGGCAGTTTCTGGCTAGAGGATGAAATAGGTGAGGTGCTCTCAGCAGAGGGTAGGACCTAGCAGTGTACCAGACTAGCAGGGAGGTGACCTCATCATGTTACCTGGAGGGGCTGCCCTTTCTGGCTCAGGTGGGACTTGCATGTCTTCCCAGACTTGTTTGGCTTCCCCACAAAAGCTTCCAGAAAAGTGAATAAACAAAAAGTAAAGTTGATTTATTTCTCAATTCTCAGCTCCACTCCCAAAGGTAGGGCCTACTGACCAAAATCCAAGTGTCTGGGACCTGGGCAGACTCCAGGAAGTAGAAGCTAAGTGCCCAGCTCAGACTTCAGCAGACCAGGGTCAGACCTTGCCAAGCTCAGAACTCAAGGTTCATGTACGTCCTCAGATCCCGCTCCCAGGCCTTGTCCTTCTCCTTCTGCCTTCTCTCCTCCTTCCTGCTCAGTGTGGTCACCTGTGGGGCTCTCTCCCTCCCAGCCACTGCCCGGGTATCCCGAGCCAGGAAGTGTGTGATTCGGGATTGGGGTGCTGACCTGTACCCTAATCCTTCCTGGTCTCTCTTGAGGACAGTGGGGATGGGGTTGACACGGCCCTTGCCCCGGGGTCCCAGCCCCATTCCAGGCTCCCACCCCCCCTTCAGCAGCAGCTTGAAGCCTGGGCTGGAGATGGGCACCCCGAGGTGCAGACTGGGGGTCTGGAGGTCCCGGGACAGTGACAGCAGGTGAGCAGTAGATGTGCGGTGGTTAGAGTCCTGGAAGTGGGCATCACAGGTCTCACAGTACTGGGGGGAGGGGGCTTGGGACCTGTAGAGGAAGAAGAAAGGACTGAAGGCAGGGGAAGGGTTGAGGTGGGTGGAGGTGGCAGGGTGGGTGGGACAGGGCTCTCCCAGTATTTCTGCTGAGGAACAAATTACCTTCCTCCCCACTTAGCAATGAAGGACCATAGGGTAATAGCTGGGAGAAGAAATGGTAACCAGGACTTATAAGGCTCTTGGGAAAAGAAGGAATAACAATGGCTATGGCTATAACTAATATTTATATAGTGCTTACTTTGAAGGAAACACTGTTCTAGCACTTGATATATACTAACCCATTTAATCCTAACAATCCTATGAGAAAGGTGTTCTTATTACCATCTCTCAGATAAGAAAACTCAGGTATGTAAACATTAGGTTGCTTGCCCAAGTTAGCATTGAGATCCACAGAGATCAGGTTCATAACTACTCTAGCACACTGCCTTATCAACCTACACTGGGAGATGAGGAAAAGAACCCTTCAGCTGTTTGCTGGTCTGCAGTGGCTAGGAAGAGCAGAACACACTGAAAGGTGGGCATGGGCGAAGGCTTCCTCTCACCGGTTCTCTGGACTCCTCTTCTCTCCATGGCTCTCTCTGACCATGCGGGCCACCTCAGGGAAGCCTGCTTCTTCAGCCAGCTGAGCAGCATCCCTGCCACCCAGCTCACAGACCCCGACCCAGGCAGCACCCTGGCCCAGGAGATAGCGCACAGCTGCCCCCTGGCCTGCTCGGGCAGCACACATCAGGGGGGTCCACCAGAAGGCATCCCGAGCATTGATATTCCCCCCAGCTCCCCCTGCCTCATGGGGATCCAGCAGCCTTTTTAGTTCTGCCAAGTCCCCCTCCTGGGCTGCCCTCAGTATCCAATGAGTCATCTTGTCCTCAGCCTCAAGGGATCTCCTTTGTCCATGTCCTCTTGATGGTCCTGTTGCAGCTTCTCTCGTCATTCTTCTCTTCTTCCTTTTTCTCTCACTGGCAGGCTCAGGTTGCAATCTCTGAGGTTCAGGGGTGCTGCTCTCATCTCCAATCAAGGCCTCATAGAAAGCCCGGGCTGCTGCCCCATCCAGAGTAGGCTCCAGCTCTTCAGGCTGTGACTGCTGCTGCCCATCTTTCCAGAGGTCGCTGGGGTCACTGGCTGGGGTAAAGGTGATGACAGAGGGCCTAGACATGGCTTTGGGAGAGCTGAGAAAATGAGACTAGGCAAGAGGAAGATGAAGCCAGTGAGCCAAAATCCTGGCGGCCCTGCAGTGACCAAAGCCACCTCCAGAAACCTGCTGGGATAAAGAGAAGTAGCCTTAGAGTAAAAAAAAAAAAAATCCTGCCCCAAAAGTGACCCCACAACTTTACAGGGCCTAAGGACAACAGATCACATAGAAAAACAGGGAACCCTATAATAAAAGACCATGCCCTTTAGTAAAGGTTAACAAAGATTCTATGAGGCAGTTGCCTAGACATCCTGCTTTGTGCCCCTACTCCCAGCCTCATCAACAATTAATAGTAATAGCCTCCGAGCACTTGAGACCTTACTCCCAGGCATATGTTGTCAATTTGGCTCAAATAAATTTATAAAAATTCTCTAAAAAAAGTAGAAAGTAGAAAGTAGGCTTTCTCTGAAACTGCCACTCTGTAAGACATAACGATTATCAAAAGCAGTCAGCCTTGCCCTTTATATCTTCCTCGATCCTATTTCAGGTGTCTTCTCAAACAAAAACATTTGATACTTCTCCAGAAGTAGAAAGCGTACTGGGGAGAGGCTGCAGTCCGCATAGCCTTGTGGCTTCAGTAATGCAAAACGGCGCTGTTGTAAGCAAAGGAATCTGCATAATCAAACATCCAGAATACTCCAAGATACATGCGTAGCTGAAAGACAAACAAACAAATATTATTTCAGAGTGCAGGCGTACAGAAAGCACCTGGTTGTTGCCCATCCTAAACCTTTCCAATATTATTTATGCAAAGAGTCACGTGCCTCGATAGCGCGAGGACAAAAGAGGATGTCAGTTGGGATCTTGCTTTTACATAACGCCCCACAATGCCCTTCGCCTCCCTGAATGCGGCCCCTCGCTCTGATCTCATTTTCTGGAGCTAGGAAACAAACCACTGTCGGTGTTAAGAAAGGCCCTGGGTAGGCGGAGGGAAACCTATGGCATGCCTACAACTGTGAAATTAAATAACGTCACGCTGCCCCTCACCATTACTCCAACCAGAGTTCGAAGGTCGCACTTAGCGCCCGCAACAAAAGTCTCCATTGAAGCCCTAAAAAGAAATGGAAAAGTGCAAGGGGACGAGAAGCAGAATGACTGGCACCACCTCAGGTTAGCCACTGGGCCACCCCGGTTCTCACACCGCTCTGCCAAGCACATCCTACCCAGGTCTCTAGGCACAAAGCGAGACCTCAACTCCCGTCTCAGGAGTCCGGACCCCAGGGTGCAACAGGGGCCCCGTTGGGAGTCTCCGGTAGCGGGCCTGGCTCGACCAAGGGGTTGGAGAGACGATAGAACTCGGTGGGTTGATTGGGGATGAGGTCAGTCCCCTAGGCAAGGGCGCGCCGGGGCCGCAGCCTCGCTGTGTGAGGGGAGCAGCAAGAAACAACCCAGCCAGCTTCGCCCCTTACCCCAACTCTTCCCGAAGCCCCCGGTCCCGAGATCACACAACTACTTCCCAGGCTCCCCTGCCCAGAACCCGGTACTGGGCTTCCGCTTCCGGTGGCTCCTCGTTGCGTTCCGCCCTCAGAGTCTTCCTCAGCGGCCTCGCGACACTAGTGTCGCGCCCGGTTTACCCTGGAATTCGTAGTTCGTCTTCCCCTGGTTTCGCCAGTTTCTCCCTAGCAGGAACTCTATCTCCCGGCGTCCACCGCGGCGGTGCCGGACCCTTGGCGCTTGCGCATTGTTGTCTTCCCACCCTCCCTTTTCTATTCACCCTGCCCACCCCCCGCCAACTTCGCCTCCCGCGATCCGGTCCGTGGCCTACGCTTTAGCCGTAGCTGCCGTTCCTTGGAAGTAGCAACTCCCCTCCCCCACCCCGGTCCCGGCCCCCGTCCAGACGGTGAGTGTGAAGTTGTCACCGCGCTGAGTGTTCTGTCTCTGGGTGCGGCACATGGAGGTCTCCGCGCTTTAATGTGCGGGTGGGGAAAGAAGTGATCTGGTCCGCCACCGAAGGAGGAAGGGAAGGGTGGCCTGAGGGGTGGAGGCGGGGTGTGGGTTCTCCCTCGAAAGGGACCTTCGGGCCACCCCAGGCCATGAGGAAAGGAAGGGCCCAGCTCTTGCTTGAAAAAGATAAACTTCTAAACCCTTGGGAAAGGCGCCGGGACGGGCAGAGACCTGCGGTTGCTGAGAGCCCAGGGAGCCCTGGCTGCCCTTCGGGAGCGTCAGGGATGTGGGTAAAACTGGTGGGCCAAGACCTGTCAGTTCCTCGCAAGTGACGGGTCCCCAAAGAATTCTTAACCTTGGAGAAAGGAAGCTGAGGTGTAAATAAGAGGAGCTGGAGAGAAGTGCTTCAGAGTCTAGGATCCTTTAACAAAAAGTGGCCCCAAATTCTTTTGTGGTTGGAGGGCAGAGTGTGGAAGGAGGGAGGATACCAAAGGCAGGGAAGGAGAGCTTGGGTTACTCTTTCTCCAGCTGACGTGAAGATGAGCAGTTCAGAGGAGGTGTCCTGGATTTCCTGGTTCTGTGGGCTCCGTGGGAATGAATTCTTCTGTGAAGTGAGTTCTCGGCCTCCCTACTGATCTCCACGTACAGCCTGGCCAGATATTCTCCCACATATTCAGCTTCCACACTCTCTCACATGCTTCTCTAGAAACCTGTTCCTGTCAAGGAAAAGTCCCCTCAGTAACCCACCATTAATTTGTGGTGAAGTGGCAAGACTGGGGTCCAACTTCCTTGCCACCCCCCAGCAGTGTAATGTTGGGCAAGTAAAGTTGTTGTTTTTAATTAGTAGAGTGGTATTGGTATCTACAGCGACTGTTAGGAGAATTAAAATATTGCATGTTAAAATGTTTTGTAACATGCAAAACTGTGTGTCAATGTGCGAGATGTAACTTCCTTCAGAACCCACGCTTTTCAGCCTCCACCTTTTTCAAGACAGTCAGCTGCCCCTTAGGAGGAGACAAAACTGGTTCCTAGAGATGGGGGCAGGGGTAGGGACAGGGATCTTGAAAGGAATGTTTGCCTAAGTAGGGGATTGCTGTGCCTGCTTATTTGGAAAGAAAAAAAAAGCCAAAGCTTTTATGGAAAGGCAGTGCATGTGAATTGGGGAAAGAAACCTGGGTACTTGTGCTGAGTTGGGAATGAGGAATAGAAGCAGTTGTGCTGAGGATAAGGCATCAGTTAGAGCAACTTGCTCAGGTCGAAGCTAAGAATTCTGCTGTGGGTTCCCTCTTCATCTCCACACCCTGACAGGTGGATGAAGATTACATCCAGGACAAATTCAACCTCACTGGACTCAATGAGCAGGTGCCTCACTATCGACAAGCTCTAGACATGATCTTGGACCTGGAGCCTGGTGAGGCACCCTCAGGGTTGTTTTGTGTGTGTATGCTCCCCCCACCCGCTCCCCGCAACCAAATCACTCACTGTTCACCTCTTTCTTGGTTTTCTAAATTTCCTTTTGATTTCTGACTCCTTTAACCCAAAACCCCCTACTTCATTTTGGTCCACTGCCTAGCTCTTGCCTGATTTAGTGACATACGCCACTTGTGCCCATCAGAGTGACTCTGATTCTATAATTCAGTTCTATTTTGTAATGATAGTTTTCCCAGGGGTTCTCATTTTCAAACTCTTTCTCCTGCCTTGCACTTTCTGGGCTAGAGTTTTGTCTTCTGCATTGATACTTTGCATTTATGAGTTGCAGAGGCAGTTAGGAGGGAGAGAAGAGGGCAGAGGCTGGAGAGGTGTGTAGAGAAGGTAGAGCCTTGGGTTGGTGGAAGGGTCAGAGACCCAAGTTTCTGGGTCAGATGCCCACATGAAGGGTGGGGTGAGGCTCAAAGGTGGGTGCTAAGCAAACTAAGTAACCAGCCATCCCTGGGGATGGGCAGAGCACCAAAGAAAGCTGTAAGACAAGTGGTTGCATTCGGCTGGGGCCATGTTTCAGATGAAGAGCTGGAAGACAACCCAAACCAGAGTGACCTGATTGAGCAGGCAGCTGAGATGCTTTATGGATTGATCCACGCCCGCTATATCCTCACCAACCGTGGCATCGCCCAGATGGTGAGGTTTCTCTGCCCCCACTACTCCTTCTGAGGCAATAAGGGAAATGGAGGTTTCTACAGCAAAAAGTCACATGTTTTGACCCTGTCAAGGAGTATAGCTGAGATGAGGAGAACCTCAGAACCAGATCCTAGGAAACCAGTCTTGATTGGGGATTGTGCTGAAGGGGGTGTTTTCTGGGGGGACGTGACCTTGGACCGGAAGTTGTTATAGAGTCTTCAGGGAATAAACACTGAATGGCTCTGATGGTCTATAGCCTCCCTCACTAGAAGAAAGGAAGCAGAGGAGTCAGAGAGCCTGGCTGAGTCAGAGAGAGACAGGAGAAATGGGGGACACTGGTATGGGGTGGGTAGAAGAAGGGATTGCCTCTTCTCTTCATGCCTCCCCCCCAACACTTTCCATTTTGTTTACTTCAGTTGGAAAAATACCAGCAGGGAGACTTTGGTTACTGTCCGCGTGTGTACTGTGAGAACCAGCCAATGCTTCCCATTGGTGAGTGTTGGAGACAGAGAGGCAGGGCAGCATATGGTAGGTCCTCTGGGAAGGAGTTGGGGCCCACGTTCGGGTAGGTGTTGGGCGGGGGGTCCAGGGGAGCCTGGAATGCTGAGTCTGGCTATCTCCCAGGCCTTTCGGACATCCCAGGTGAGGCCATGGTGAAGCTCTACTGCCCCAAGTGCATGGACGTGTACACACCCAAGTCATCAAGGCACCACCACACGGACGGCGCCTACTTCGGCACTGGTTTCCCTCACATGCTGTTCATGGTGCACCCTGAGTACCGACCCAAGCGGCCTGCCAACCAGTTTGTGCCCAGGTGGGAAGCAAGGACCGAGTCACCAGGGATCAAAGGAAAGACCTCTGGAGAGAAAGGAGAACAGGGCATGGTCCATTTTTGAGATTTGCTTCTCCCAAAGCTAGGGCTGTCCATGCTGAGGGACCTTGGGAAAGTTCTTTGTCTACGTCTCAGTTCCTTTATCCATACAATAGGGATAGTACCTGCCTGACAGAATATTTTTAAATATGTGAAGTGCTTAGAATAATGTTTGGTACTTGAAGCACCATTTAAACAACAGCTCTTGCTGTATCAACTTGGGTGTTCATCTTTTGCCAGGAGCTCCTCAGAGCCATGGTTCACATGTGGTTTAGCTTCTTAGAGAATTACTTTTACTCTGGTGTGGGGAAGAAAAGTTGTTTTATGTTTAAACAAGTAGTGATAACAGACATCTCTATATGTACATAACCTTGAATTTGAGTGTTAGTGGATATTTAAGATATATCCCCAAATATTCTTGAGGGGAGGAGGTTGGGAACCACAACCTTAAGCACTGAGCAGGCCCATGGAGGAGCCGGGGTAGGGCGGTAAGAATAGGAGCTACTGGCAGGGCTGCATGGGCTCACCCTGCTGCCTCTCTGACCTCTGCCCTGGCCCAGGCTCTACGGTTTCAAGATCCATCCGATGGCCTACCAGCTGCAGCTCCAAGCCGCAAGCAACTTCAAGAGCCCAGTCAAGACGATTCGCTGATTACCCACCCCCTGCCCCTCAGTCCTTGACACCTCCATTCCTTTGCTGCCACCCTTTCAGGAACCCTCTATGGTTTTTAGTTTAAATTAAAGGAGTCATTATTGTGGTGGGAATATGAAATAAAGTGGAAGAAAAGGCCATGAGCTGGTCTGCTGGTGCTTCGGGTTGGGAAAGGGAGGGTAGTAACGTGCTGGACACCAGGGGCTCTCATGGGCCGGCTCGCCCTCCCTGAGTTGAAAGTCAGCATAGATTTATGCCCAGTTGATTTAGGTGATGGTTTTATTAGCAGAGCAGAATTCCTAGGATTAGGTATGGAGGTGTGCAAAGTCCCAAGGAAAAAACCCAAAGGAAAGTCAAATTTCAAAGCCTGGAAAAATACTTGTTTTTGGAGGGCCTACCTATGGCTGTCTGTTTATATGTACCATACATAACACTATCGGTTTTGGTTTTACTGGGAAAGGGGTTCAAAAGTAACTTAAGGGGTGGAGAGAAGAGGGGCAGACCCAGAATTGCTGCTGGATGAGACCTGTGTGCCCCCTGCTGGGGACATGGAGACACATTTCAGAAGGATGGGGACGCTGAGCTCCTGGCTAGAGTTCTAGCACAATAGGGACTGGCTCTCTTGTGTAGGAAGGACAGCAGTTGGTGCCAGAGACAGAAGCTAATTCATAGACTCTTAAGGGGTGGAAATAGATCTTTGGGAAGCACACTGAGCAAAGGCCCAGGTATTACCCCTGTCTTGGCTACCTTGACACATTCTCCCACATTCAGGAACCAGACCTCGTGGGTGAGAACACACTGTGCCTCCTGCCAAGTTAATAACTTCCTCACCCAGCCTGGATCCTGCCCCAGGCAGGAATATAGCTCTGAACCTACGGCGGCTCCTGCTACGACTGTCAAAATCAGCCTGCAGCTCAGGATCAAGGAGCATGGTCATGGGAAAGTGGGATTTCAGGGCAGCCCTCAGGGACTGCCCCTCTCCTCAGAATTCCATAATGAAAGCCCATGTGGTTGTAGGCATGCTCGTCATGGTGGGCTTCACAATGGGAAAGGGTAAGTGGGGCCCAGGGCAGGAAGAAAGGGGTGACAGTCCAGGAAGCGGGTGGAACTGTGACCCTAGATACATGGGCTCCCTATAGATACATGGGTTCCCTACAGGACAGGGACCTTGGAATAAGCTAGCGCTCCCATCCCTTCTGTTTTCTGCTCCCTTAGCTCCTGTTCCTGAAGTCCGGACCTGCCACCTCTGTCTCTTAGAAGACCCTTCTGTAGGTTGCATTTCAGGCTCGGAGAAGTGCACCATCAGTAGCTCATCCCCATGTATGGTGATCTCGATCTATTATGGTGAGTTCAAGACCCAGGAAGGGGCTACTGGTGGGACAGCCCATTGCTTGGTCTCCTCTCTTGATGATGGCTGCTTGGGGCCTAGGGCACAAGGAGATAGGAGGATCCTGGAAGGCATGGTCTGGGGTTCCAGGGGGTGCCAGCTAAGCTAATTTTCTGAGCCTTCCTGAAGGGATCTGGGATGGAAGTCAGGTCTGATGAAGGATGGGGAGAGTTTGTTGTAGGAATGCCAAGTTTGGGGACTATGGGAGGCAACAGGTTATTAGTTGTCCTCTCTCCTCCAGAAACCAAGATTCGCTTTTTCATCCGAGGCTGTGGACAGTACAGTTCTTACCAATGCCAAGAAAAACGCAACACCTACTTGTCAGAGTACTGGTACCACGCCCAGTGCTGTCAGTATGATTACTGCAACTCCTGGTCCAGCCCTCAGCTCCAGAGCCCACAGCCTAAGCCCCTCAATAAGGCCCTGGGCCTGCCTCTGCTCAAGTCACAGGTCCAGCGATTCTACCAGGCCCTGAACCTCTCGCTGCCCCTCCCCAGCTTCCATGCTGAGAAGGAGCCTGAAGGCCTGGCTGAAGGCCTGAACCCCCTGGCTTCCCTGCCCTCGAACCTGGGCTTGTCCATTGCTAACTTGCGCAACATATACTTATTCCTCAACAATTCAGGACTTCTGGTTCTTCCCCGGGCTGGACCCTGAGCCCTTACCCTTCCCAGATTGCAGTCTGTTCCAGCATCTCTCCCAGTACTAGCACTCGCACTGCCCTCTCAGAACACCCACATTCTTTGGTCTGTACTTACTCAGATCTTCTCTTCCTTTGTATTGGGTTGGCCAAAAAGCTGGTTTGGTCTTTTTCTGTACAATGGCCCTAGTAGTGTTTAGTTGTCTTTAACTTCATTCAAAACAATTTTGTTAGATTATGTTGTGACAGCTGTCATATTAGCATGCATTTAAAAAAAAAAACACCAAAACATTAAAATTGGTAGATTTTTTTGCAGCCATTTTAATACTGAAAATGGAAGGAAATTTGACATTATGCTTTATTCAAGAGAAGTAAAAATGCAACTGAAACAAAAAGATTTGTGCAGTGTATGGAGAAGGTACTGTGACTGATCAAATGTGTTAGAAGTGGTTTACAAAGTTTCTTGGCACTATTGACATTTTGGCCAAATAATTCTTTGCTGTGGGGGCTGTCTTATGCATTGAAAGATGTTTATAGCACCCCTGGCCTCTACCCACTGGAGGCCACTAGCAGGAGATAGTTGACATACTCAAAATATTCAAGTCAAAGATATTGGTGAAAATGAAAAATGTGTTTTTTATTTTATGAGAAGAACTAAACAGACTTTTTGACCAACCCATTACTTTGTGTCTAAATGGCTTTGGTTGCCATTTCTCCCCAGAAACCAGTGCTCTTCTTCCTCCTAGAAAATAATATCAAGTGCAGATTTCTGCCCAGACTAACCTGGGGAAGGCAGTGGTTCCCTCCTCCCTTTCCCATCTGAGGTTCATCACCGCTCCCCATCTTTCCAGACTCCTCTCAGTGTGGTCATCTGCCACCTCCACTTAATTCTAGCTGTATTTCCCATCCTGTGCCTATCTATAAGACCCAGGCCAGACTGGATATGCAGTGTGAAGGATGAGGGATAGACTTCCGTGCAGATCTCATGGCTTGGCATCCTGATGTCCATGCCTCACTGTCTCCACCACCCCATTCCCACACTGGTCTTCTGCTGCCTTCTAATCTCTTGTCCCAGTCTCTGGCCTCCTCAGCCCCACTTCATGTCACTGAGTCCTGACATCTCCTTCCATGGGTGCCCAGGGAGGGGAGAGGGTCTCTCCCGCTCTGCTCCATAACTCCTGATTTCCCTCCACAATAAATGGACAGGGTTAAGTCTGTGTCCCATTGTTTGTTGGGTCAGGCTCACGTGTGGGCAGGTGGTAGACAGGTTAAAGAAAATTAATTGGGCATGGGGTTCAAACATTTGCTGAATCCTGCCCACTCCACTTGGCCTTTGTGGCCTTCTTATGGCCTGTCCCAAAGGGCTGACACCCACCCTCCCCTCTGCTCCACCAGAGATCAAAGCTAGAGGATTATGACTCTCGCCCCCACCCTCAGCCTTAAACATACCCTTCAAAACCTAGAAAGTTAAACCCAGGTGATATCAGGTTTTTACACCTAAGAGAAGAGGAAAATCTTTTCAAACCGGGAAAGCTCAGGAGCAAACCAAAGGGCCCAGGTTTGCATTTCAGAGTCACCTGGTATGAGCGACCCATATTCCTTCCTGTCCATTCATTTTAGGTTCCTGATACCCAGGATACCATAAGTGGGGGCCTTTTATATTTTATTTTTTGGAAACTGCAAGCATCCTGAAAGCAATAATTAATAGCCATAACTCCCTTTCACATATACTAAATAAACACTAGAACCACACTGCTTTGTGCCAAGACTTGCAGACAGTATAGCCAGTGTCTGCCCTTCCAGATCTCAACCCAGTGCTGGGGTTATGAAACCTTTTCTGAAAAGTAGTACAGTGTTGTGGCGGGGAGACCCATTCTCAGCTCCTCCACCACTTTTGGTAAGTTGGCCTTTCTGCTTTGCTTTGGTCACTGGTCAAGTAGGGTGATGTTTCAGGGTTGAAAGAATGCAAGTGGACATGTGTACAGAGTGGAGGTTGGAGCCTCAAAAATAGACATACCTTAGAGACAAACACAGATTTTGGCCTATTTATTTTTAAACTTCTTTGGCAAAACATATAGTATGGGCTTTTGTAAACTATCCACCTGTGTTACCAGTTCCCAAGTCCCTTAAAGCTGTCGCTGCACCCTCCATGCACTCCCCTCGACTCAGAGGTAGCCACTGTCCTAAGTTGGAGCAACTCAGCCAGATTCTGTCTGTGTGCTTGGTGACATCGTACAGCATATATTCATCTACAAAACACTGGCACGTGTTAACACCTCCATGGACTCGTTAATGGCCTGTGCTCTGGCGGGAGACACCAGCGTTAATTTTTAGGTCAGAAGGTAGTTGGAGGTGCAAACCTGTGTATTGCCCCTCTTACTGGCCCACTATTCCCCATGACCCCTGGCTTCTGTAGAAGACAGAATGTCCCAGGTTCATACAAACTGGAAGACAACTGCAGAGGCTGAAGAACCCAAGGCCCAAAATGTAAGAGTAATTTACCATGGTCCTTGAAGAGGGAAGCTGAACCTGGGATTGGAGAGCCCAGGGCTCCACTAGGCCTAGCATGTCTCCCACAGAGTATCCCTTTTCCCTGGGCCTGGGCCTTACACAGCCCCACTCCCACCGACACCTTCCCGCCAAGGACCTCCCCTGAAGTTCCCACACAACTGTGGATCTGATAGCACTAACAGGTACCCACTGTCCTTTTGGCCTTTATGGTATCCCGTCCCAATTTCTCTTCACCTTTTCATGCTAGAGCTGAATCAGACGCCAAGGCAGAGCAAGAGCAGAGCTCGATAGAGCTGGGAGCCCCTTGTCCCCACAAGGGGCAGTCAGGCAGGACCACCTCCCTCAGCCTCCACCTCTACCAGAAGAGAGAAAAAAACAGTTTGTACACCAATTTATTCTGAAGGAGCACCTGGAGAGAGACTCCTGTAGTGGGAGAAAGGGAGGCCAGAGCAAAGCAGAGGCACCTTAGAGGTGGGAGAAGACAGGAGAGAAAATGTCAGACAGCAAGGACTTGATGGGAAAACTCCAGAGAGGTCTGGGGAGGGGCAGAGTGGGAATGGGGTTGTTGAGGGGCATCAAGCAACAGGTAGCTAGGGCTGGGGTCAGTTAACCTGAGACAGGAGGGCTAGTGGAAAGGATCAGAAGTTGTACCCACTGTGCCCAGGTGGGAACAGGAGGCTAGCTGGAAACTGGCAGCATTTTACTGCAAAGGTCTCTGCAGACGTTCTATGGAGCGTAGGACACTCTGTTCTGTGGGTTATTGCAGAAATTCTGGAAACAGCATCGAGAGAATACCCAAAAACCAAACACTGAAGTACGGGTATACGAGCAATCACGCATCTGCTCCTTGCGGCGACAGTCACTCACCATGATGTCAGAACCACTGCCTGGGGAGGGAGAACAGCAACCAGTGAAGCAGAGGTCCCAGCAAAGCACCAAACCCTCCCATCCCTTCACTTCACACAAACATCATCACTGCCCCATACCCTTCCCTGCATCCCCAAAATGCAAAGATTCCTGTAACTGGGCAGGGGCAAGGAGTGCCAAGGAGTCACCAGCCATGAACTCTGCAGAAGTTCCCCATGGGAGATTGGTGGGAAACGGCCATTTGAAGTATAGTAAGGGCGCTGAGCTGGTACTTGTGGAGTGAAGTAGGGAGAACCAGTATTTTTTAGGTGGGACCACATAAAAAAATAGTTGGGAGATGTATTGGGAGTCAGATTGCAAAGAGGAGGTGTTTATTTTATGGATTAAAAGAAGATATGTTTCTATTATATACAGGGGTGCACAAAAGTAGGTCTACAGTTGTAAGTACATGAAACAGTTTATTCTTGTATTACTTACTGATTATTATTATTATTAGCCTACATTTGCCCACCTTTATATATGAGAGGGTGAAAAATCTTCATGCCCATGTGCAGGAATTCCACTGCTGCCCTGCTTGCGAGAGTGAAAGAGTGGAAGTAACCCCCAGTCGGCCCATCAGCACTGCAATGGACTGCGGGCTCTGTCATGCTCACACCATGGAGCACTATGCAGCAGGTCAATGAAGCAAGAAAGCTGTTTACAAACTGATATGGAAACATTAAGTTCCCATAACTGTTAAGTTTAAAAAGCAAGTGCAGAACAGGTTTATGGGAGTATGCTACTGTTTGTGGGGGAAAGAGGTAAAGATAGAGAATAAATGTATAGGATGGAGTGTCCACTAAAGATCACAGGAAGGGTCCTGGCTGGCATGGCTCAGTGGATTGAATGCCAGCCTGTGAACCGAGAGGTCACTGGTTTGATTCCCTGTCAGGGCATGTGCCTGGGTTGCGGGCCAGGACCCCATTTGGGAGCATGCGGGAGGCAACCGATTGATGTATCTTTCGCACATTGCTGTTTCCCTCTCTCCCTCCCTTCCCCTCTCTCTAAAAGTAAATAAAAAATTTTTAAAGAAGTAAATAAAATCTTTTTAATAAATAAATAAATAAGTGAAGGGCCAGGTAGAAGAGCAAGCTTGAAGAACAATGGGATGGAGTCAATTTTGGCCAGTTGAAAGTGAGGTGGAGGTGTCTGGGGGCAGACTGGTGTCCAGGGGGCAAGTTGACATGACAGTGTGGCCAAACACTCAGATTCAGAAGGAAGCAGCATGTGGTTGTTGGTAGAAGCCAAGGAAGCAGAGAAATTCCTCTGGGAGAGTGAAGCAGGGAGTTAACTAAGGCTCGAATTTCGATGAACATGTATCCTTAAGGGTCAAGGAGAATGAAGGAAAACTCAGTGAAGGAGTCTGGGAACAGGTTGGGAGAGGTAGGAGAAGAGAGATGCTGGCAGGAACTACCACTGACATGGGGAGAAAACAGCCTGAGGAAAGGCTGGTGGATCTGGTGATTTCAGAGACCCTACAAGGCTGGTGCTGTGCAGAGGGAGGAAGTGAGTCAGCTGTGAGCTAAGGAGAGCCAGGCAGTGGGCGTGGAAACAGGAATAGCTCTGAAGGAAAGAAAGGGGGGGCAGTGTCTGCGAGTCTTAGCTTAGGAGATGTAGAGACTCAGCTCTGGTCCCAAGTCAGACAGAAGGCACCTTACCATTCCTGATGAGGAGAGTAATACAACTGCCACCAGGAAAGGTCAGACAAATGTCAGATCCCAGAAGGCACCCCAGCTCCTTGGTCTCCAAGAGGCACCGATAGCAGCGCAAGTATTGGGGGAACCGAGCTGGATAAGGGGGCTCTTGATTGGCAGGATCAAATTGACCTAGAACATAGAGAAACACTGACTCCATACCTCTGCCTGCCTATTTTTCAGGTCAGTTCCACTGTTCCCCCCCCATCTCCGAAAACCATAAAATCAATTCATTAAAACCATCTGGCTTAATCTTTCACCAGAAGCTTTAGTCCTTATTAAAAACCTCCATTCTCTGCTCTTATACCTCCTGAAATGAGGCATGCATTCATTCACTCATGTACTTATTCATTCAACATGTTTTTGAGGGGCTAGTATGTGCCAGCACTATGGAAGCCTCTAAGTTCAAAGGCGAGGCAAAGGCAGCCCATTTCAGCTTTGGACAGCCCTGTTAGGACAGTTCTTCCTCTGGGACTTGGTTTTACAGTCCTCACCGTCCCTAGATTCTCTTTTAAATATACTTTCTTAATCTGTAACGTTCAGAAGTAAAAAAGAGAATGCATCATCACAGAACTGGAAGAACCTGTTCTTCTTGTAGACAGGAGACTTCAAACAGCCCAGGGCCACATTCTTTGTGTAGTGGTCCTATCACAGGACAGATTCATTAAACTTTGTCCACCAAAGCCTTCCCAACTAGATGCATGTATGGTTATAGTTGTTCCTTGGTATCTACAGGGGATTGGATCCAAATTGATACCAATCTGAGAATACTCAAGTCTCTTATATAAAATGATGGAATATTTGCAAATAACCTACACACATCCTCCCATATACTTTAAATCATCCATATATTACTTATAATAATACAATGTAAATACTATATAAATAGTTGTACTGTATTGTTTAGGACATAATGACATGGGGAAAAGGTTTGCACAATGTTCGGTACAGACACAACCAGCATAGGTCTAACTATACAGTACACGTTAGCAACAACATCATTTTTTAAAAATAATTTCCCATCTTCAGTTGGTTAAATTCAGGGATGTGGAACCTGTGTGTATGGAGGGCCGACTGTATGCCTCCCCCTTTTTCTGGTCCCAGGCTGAGACCACAGGTTAATGAGTCACCAGACTCAGCAGAGCACTTTGTCTGAGGCAGATGCTGAACATTTTGAATCTTGTTTCTATGCAAATGGTGCTCTGCAGCCAAGTGAGGAGGTTTTCAGGCTGCATCCAGCCTTGTTGTACCCTGTGGAACCTGCTTTCTTCTAGCATATTCTCCAAACCCTCCTTAATCTGTGTTGCCTTCAAACTTGAATAGGTTCCCTTCAGTATCTCCACTCAGGTCATTACTGTTGAGACAACCCTGGGGTGTCACTAGACATCTCCCTCAGAATGAACATCAAATTAGTCCAGTATCAGCTCCCAGGCATTATCCCAGCAAGCCCACTCATCCCATCTTTCCTCCTGCCTGGGTTTACTTGAGCATCTTGGGCAGATGTACCCAGACACCCTGTATCTATGGGTTTCTGCCTCTAGCAGGCAGAGACCCTTCTGATTTCTTAGTACCACTTACCAAACACCAAGCTCATCATGACCAACACTAATAAGAGGACCATGTACAGAGTGTGGGGGATGCTGTAGAGGCTCAAGGGTCCCAGACTCCGGCTACTAGCAGGGCCTGCCATAAAATGCATGACTGCCCACCAGCCTCCAGTATGGGCTTATATTGGTGAAAGAGAAGTCGGCCAAGAGGAAGGAAAGGGGCAACACCGATTGTGGGTGGAAATTTGTGCCAAAACAGCCAGAGGAACAGAATGTCCTCACCCACAGCCACTCTGGAACCTAACATCCTGGCTTGGGAACAGGAGCCCAGCAACAGGGGAATGAAAAGGGGACCTTCTCTTATAATCATTCAGTGACATTTGAATCCTGGCATCAGGTGTTGGGGATGCAACGTTGCCCCAAGTCCCTCCTGTCAACCTAAAAATAAAGGCTTTCGAAGTAAGTGATGACAAATGTTTATGTGAGATCAGTAAGAGCAGCTATTTTGAGTAGCTGCTTCAGGCAGAAGCCAAATAGTTTTCTGATTAGGAGACAAAGGCAATGGTATTTATGAGAAGGGAAGGGGAACAATTACATCCATAGAAGGAAGGTATTTCTGTTGGTGCAGAAAACACAGTGATACTAATTCTAAACAAAATTTTTAATTTTCAGTCTAGTAGTCATAACTGCTTTCTTGTTATTTTTGCAAACATTTCAAACCTTGGGACACAAGGTTACTTAGGCCCAGGCCAAAAGTTAGTTTGCCCTGTTTTAATATTCCAAAGGTTTGAGGCATAAGATGTACAAGGCAGTTTCAGTTCCATTTATTTTTAGAGAGAGGGGAAGGGAGGGAGAAAGAGAAGGAGAGGAAAGTCGGGATCTGCTGTCTCACATGCCCCCAACTGGGATCACTCACAGCCTGGGCTTGTGCCAGACCAAAATCAAACCAGCGACATTTCACTTCGCAGGCCAGTGCTCAGTCCACTGAGCCACACCAGTCAGGACCCAGATCTATTTCTAAATTGGTTCTTTTGATATTGTTTACATTGCCTTAGGAGAGCACAGGAGCTTAGGAGTCTTAATGGAGGAGACAAATCAACAAACAATGGTGGAGGGTGGGGGTGGGGACAAAAGTGCTTCCTGGGAGCACCTGGGCAGTGGAAAGCACTGACCAAGGGACTTCAACAGAGTAATATATTCAGGTTTTTGTTTATAAGATTACTGAGGCGGGGAACCAGTTAAGAAGCTATTCTTGAGTCCAGTCACTAGATGGGGGCCTGGTCAAGGAGAGGAAAAGCAGGGAAGCAAGAAGTAACAATCTTGAGATGTATTTATTTATACATGTATTATTTCATGTATTTAGAAGGAAGACCAGCCAGATTTGGAGTTAGACTGAATGTAAAGTGAGGGGAGGTGGATATAAGCTTCCAGGATGGGAAAGATGTGGCACCATCAGATATCCAAAAGCAACACTTGGGTCGCGAGTGACCTTACTTAGTGCAATGCTCCCTGTGGGTTCTGGAAAGCCAATACCTTGGAAAGCCAACACCTTTCCTTATGCACCCCGCCCCGTCTTTCCGCTCTGCTGAGCTCAGCTGCAGGTCAGTGGGTCTGATCTCCGGCGCCCACAGGCTCCCACGCTGTGCGCTCGCTATCCGCTCCTGGCTGCACCTTAGAAGACACGGGGGCGGCCCTGGCCCGCAGCCCCAAGCTCAGCTCTCTGCCCCGCGTCTGGGAAGAAACCTGGGAAGGGCATGCCAGGCGTCAGGACCTGGTCGTCAGGACCCAGGTGTGCAGAACCTGCAGACAGCCAGAGCACTATGCGGGTCCGCCGGCAGGTGACGCCCCACTAGCTCCCCCGCCAGCGCCTGCTTGCGGGGTCCCGCAAGCCTGCAGGTCCGCAGCCCTGCCAGCTCAGCCCCTGAGATATTCAGGATTTGTACGTTAACAGTTGGTGGGCTCTGGCGTCTAGTTTACGGTCTGGAATTTTGGGGCGGGATCCTGCAGGAGGGTTCCTGCTTCCGCCCCAGATCATCCCAGAATCATCTGGCTTCAGGGTGCTGATAGCGTGGGTAGGAAGAAACGGATAAACGCACGCTCCACGAAAGACGGACGGGAAAGAACAAGTTAGGAAGACGCACGCCGCTGCACATCCCCCCAAAACCTTGAATGAAATAAGAAAATTGTATTATTTCATTCATCCCAAAATGCCAGGGGAGGAGCTCCTGGCAGCTTCGTAAATGTCTGTTGAATGGGTGACTAAATGATAGAAGAAAAGAATCAGAGAGCATAGGGCCTCCTCTTAAAGCGAAGAGGGCAAAAGGGAGACATAATTTCACAGCGTTCTCTCAACCCCTCCTTGAATATAACTGCACTGAAAGACCAAGGTCTAGGGAGTTATGAGTGGCCTCGCCCTGAGAGGTCCAGGAGGGCTTGTGTAGAGATTCAGTGACTGCGGGCCCAGAAGGTAACACGGGAAGACTCAAGTGGTATTTCGGGGGCTGGGCTAGGTCTTCTCCAGAAGGGACTTGGCCTCACGGTCCTTAATCCCGCTCTAATCAAATTTCACTCTTCCTGTCCAGCTGCAGGGTTAAACCAGGGCTTGCTGAGAGCTGCGGGAGTGTGTTGCCATGGTGATGGGTTCTGGGTGGCTTTCCAGGGGTAAAGAGGTGGACTTTGCAGTAGTCACCATGGTGACAGCAGTGGCTGACATTCACATTGAGTGCCCCATCGCCCGGGTCCAGGGATGCTGGAAGGTAAGCATCCGAGTGACGAAACAGAGGAGGTCCAACCCAAGGACAGAAAGCCAAGTTTAGGTAAGTGGGGTGGGGCTAGGTGATTGGTCTGAAGTGGGCCAAGTTCCCTTATGGGATCTGTCCAACACCGCTGTATTGAGAGGAACTGAAGAGGGGGTCTTTAACCTAAATATAAATTAATGACTAGGTTCCTGAGGGAGCTAGGATGGCTTGTTGATTGGGTGGATGGACTGATGGACTGACAGATAGGGACTTGGCTATCTCTGATGTCTGGGCCTCCCACCCTCTGGGGGTCTCAACACCCAGGCTTCCTCACTCATTTGTGACAGCTGTGCAGGAAATACATGCCCCTTCCCCTGGTGTGGAGCAAACCCTCAACCCAAACATGCAGCCAAGAGTGGAGCCCCGCATCTCATAGTGGGAGTCACTTAGGGAGAGCCTGGGTCAATAGGATAGGCTAAGGGATGACCCAGCCTGGCACTCACCTCTTCTTCCCAGTTGCTACCTCTCCTTTCTCCTATCCTCCATCCTCTCCCAGTTTGCCCAGCTCCTTGGAGACAACTGGGTACCCAGGCCTCACCTAGTGTGCAAGCCTCACCTGGTGCCCAGTATAGCAATGTCCAGAGTCCCAGCAGATATGGGGCCTGCATCTTAGCTGGTCTTCCCCCAAGACTGCTGGACCCTGTTATATAGAGTGAAGAGTGGATAGGGAGCTGGTCCCACCCTGGTTGGGGGTGAGGGATGGTTCTGAAAACAAACACAGTTGCTGTGAGCCTTACCAAGTGGGGAGTAATTTGCAGGGGTAGACTGAGGCCCATGGGCAGGGTGATCCGGATTTCATCTATTGAGCCTCCTCTCTACTCACCTATTTCAGGTGTCCTGGGGGGCTCCTCATGGCATCCATTGTTCTCTATAGTGTGTGCAGGAAGAAGGGGAGGGGAAAATAGCCAATAGCCATAGAGGCAGGTCACTAGAGCTTCTAATGGCCACAGCCAGGAAGGGGAGACAAATCACCTTTGTCTCCAGAAGGTGGGAAGTGGGGCTGGAAGCCCCCAAATTTGCATTTAAGGAGTTTCCCTTCGCTGAACAAAGATTTGGCTTCCAGGGGATTAACTGTCCTGGTGGATCTGGGAAGGCAAGGTTCAGAACCATGCAACTAGTTCCAAGGCTTCATGCTCACTTCCCATCCTGTTTGTTCCCTGGGACTGAGAAAAGAGGTGCCACAGTTAGCTTTCCCGTGTTGGGTAAAGATGGAGCATTTTGGAACTGCGGCCACCTCCCCTTTTAATCCCAAGTACCAGGCATTGTCACCTGACAAGTCTCAGACCACCCGTCCCAGTGGAGACACATTACCCCTCCCTTAAGGAGCTTCTGAGCTGGCAGGAACAGACACCGGGAACAGACACCGCTGCCTGGGACTTCATGCACTAGGGCTGGAGGGAGGCACTGAGATGAGCTAGAAACTGTATCTAGGACATCATAACATTGTCACCCATATTCAGCATCTTGTTCAAAACAAGGTATCACCCAGGGTGGTAGACCTAGGGGTGTCTCATCTGGAAAGGAGGCTTCCAAGGGAAGAAGATGGCCAGGCAAAAACTGGTGGGTGAGAGAAGGACTCATTCTATTCCATGAGGTCCAAGGATTGGAAATAGGATAGTTACAGGGAACTGATTTCCTCAGGTTCAACCTAAGAATATTCTAACAGCTACCCAAAAAGGCCAAGTATGGCTCTGGCAGGACATGAATCCTTGGCACCCAGGCTCTGGCAGGCCCTGTGTTTGGTGAATCGCAAAGAGGGTGTGAGGAGAGACTTGAGGGCAGGGTGAGGAGGGTGTACAGGGTTTGCTGAATAAGACATGGGGAATGGGCCATTCCTCACCCCTCACTGAAACAGCAAGAGCTAAGCAAGGGAAATGGGGGACACTGATGGTGAAATCACGCCAATTGGGCCTGGAAATCAGCAGAAGAGCTGAGTAGGTGAAATTAGGTACCAGAAAGCTATTGTAAACAACAAAGTTTGTGAGTCAGAGCAATAGGAGGCAACATGGCTCCTGCGGTGGTTGTACGCAGGAAGGACTGAGGCAGGGTCACAAGGCTGCACAGCGGGGATATTAGGCACGCCATGGAAGGGTAACACTTGGGGACCCATTGCATGAGGACAACTGAGGTTGGGGGCTGAAGGCCTAGGGAAAAAGCAGAGATGGGGAAGGTTAAATTGGCTATATGGAGTTGGGGTCTCCCAGAGCCCAGCCCTTAAGGCTTCAGTCCCTGGCTCACCAAATACTTGGGAAGTCACAAAATTAGCCAACCTGTAGAAAAAATACCTTTTCATTTATTATTAGGAAAAATCCATTCATTTAATGCAGAGTGAATGCCGGGGAGGTTAGGTTACTACCAGATGGATGAGGGGAAACGTGCAAGAGGAACAGTGAAAAGGGGGGTGGTCCTCACTTCTCACAAACTATAAACAGCAATATGAACACAGAGAATCACAAGTAAGAGGGTCCTTCCTTATGTCTCCTCTTATCCCATTCTTCCAGAACGAGGTCCACTGTGGTCCCTAGAGGTGCCAGGGCATCTGGAAGTTCTGTACTGGGAGCGGGGTACAATGTGTGGCCTCAAAGTTGTGCAGATGTTTCTGGGCCTAAGGAAAGAGGACAGGACAAGTGGGGTGCACAGCACTGCACTGAGTGGCAGCCACCAGACCCTCCCTGTACCCCCCCAAACTCCGACCCATGCAATGTAAGTTACCACTTCCAACTGTCCCCAAGCCCCACACGTGCCCCCTGGCCACTGAGGCACCCCCTAGCTCACCAGAAACAAAGCCAGCTGTTGCCTTTCATGTACACTCATGTCCTCCCCTGTAGAGTGGAGGTAGAACTCTCAAACATGGCCCACACATCTGGGCACCCATCCCCATCCTGGGCTCTTCCCAACCCTCTCTTCTGCCTCAGGACCTCCTTACCCACACTCCAGGGGAAGTCCAGCCCGTGTTCTGCCTCGTAAGAGCGGAGGACAGACAGACACCAGTCTTCCTCTACCTCCCATCGGCTATAAAATGAGGCTGGTCAGGGAGAGAGATGAGGGCAGAGGACATTGCTTCCCCTGGCCTTGCCACCTGGCCTTGCCAGGCTTTCCCACCCAAAGGCCTCACCAGATCCTCTCTCACCTTCCTCCAGCTGTGAGGAGGCCTCCAGCCACTGCCTCACCACTTGAAGACCCTCTTCCGCCATCACACGGGGATACCTGCAGAGGTAGTGCCAGGACAGGGGTGAGAACCAATTCTCTTGAAACTTCTTCCCTTCCTCCCGCTGCTGGAATGTGTACACGTGTACACACACACACACACACACACACACACCCTGCTCTCACCGATGCTGCAGAAGCTTCAGCAGGAGGTCGTTGCCTCGGTTGGACATGATGTCTTCAGGAACCCTGTGGGTGAGAATAATACACTGAAGAGGAGGAAGAGTCTGGATACCTGAGTTTCTAGTGGGCAGAGGTGGGCGGGGCAACTGTCTAGCTCTCTCTGGGATGCAGGAGGGTGGAGGTTCCCAGGTACTCACGTGGTGGTGATGATCTCATCCTTGGTTCTTCGGATCAGCAATACAGGGCCATGGTACCTTCATGGGACAGAGTAGTGGGGAGGCAGAACTCAGAGTCAGGCAGGTGACAACTGGCTACCCCATTCCTGCACTGGCTGCATTCTTAGCCCCTGCTACAGTGGGGACCCATGGGCTAGCCCTTCACCCAGAGGTGCAGTCAGAATATTTAAGAAGGGCATGCTGAAACTCCTTGCTGGCAGATCCCTGCTCTGCCAGGCTTTAAGCCTTTGCTTGTTAGATCATAAGGTGGTTCAGGGTCCAAGGGGATCTGGGAGAGGTTAGGCCATCTAAGGTGGGAGCAGGGTCACTCAAGGGATTTGAGGCAGAGGTCATTTGCCAACTTGTACTTTGGTACTTCAGTACTAACCTCAGCACCTGCACACCCAGCAGAGCTGTATGGGGCAGGGGTGAGGTGGGACAGTGCATTACCTGCACAGCTGTTCTGCGTTATTTAGATTGAGGTGTTGCCTCACAGTCCTGGTCACCAGGCCCCCTAGAGTGGGACAAACGTGAAAGGATAGAAGAGACAAAGCATTTGTCCAACGCAAAGGTCCCCACTGTTCATGGAGAGAGAAAACTAAGGCCCCCAGAAAGGGGTCCTCCTGCTTATCAACAATGGGGCCACCCACTCCCTACCCTTCCCTGTAAGGGCAGCCCTGGGGGCTATACTCACTCCAGCTGTCTGGCATGACTTTTAAGGCCAAGGGTACCAGGTCATCAAAGGAGGCATCCAGGATCACAGCACTAATGTCTGGGTAAGACATGGCTGCCCACGTGGCTGGTGCCAGGACAGGGAAGAAGGTAAGGAGAGAGGGGTTCCTGCCCACCAGGCTAGCCTCATTCCACTAATGCTTTAGGCAGACTCCATCCTCCCTACTGTTAATAGATTAGTCCCAGGGCCCTCAGCCCTCACGCCGCTCGGCCAAGGCACTGTCTGGAGAGGATGAGGCGAGAATATGGAAGTGCACCGAAGACAACCCAGAGGAATCTTTTGTTTCCCTGACCTTCCCAGCCCAGGCCCTGAGTCTACTTTTGATAATCAGGCATAAGTGTGGAAGGAAATGTAAAGTGTGTATGTAAAGGACACCTCTTCCCAGACCACTCAGAGATCCATCTCCTTCCTTAACCCTCCACCCTGTTCCTGGACCGCCAGTGCACTTCCCACCCCTCCTTGGGGGGAGGGGGTCCCGAATGTGCCTACAATGGGGGAGGAGGGAGGCGGGTACCAGTGAAGCCTCCGATGGACCAGGCATAGAGGATGATGTCCTGGGGTTGGAAGCCCAGGCGGTGGATGGCAAACTGAACCACCACATCCATGGCGTTGGCCTCGCTCTGTGGGAATGGCACCCCCTGGAGAAGGAAGGGCCAAGGCAGGAGGAGTCAGCACCACAGGTCAACTGGCCCACTGCCCACACTCCCCTAGAGTGGACCCTTCCTGTGCTACTCTGCAACAGAGAACAGATAGAAGAAAAGGGAGGGGAGTGAGGGGCTCTTCCTGCAACCACCGCATTCCCTCCTGCTAACCCCTCACTGTGAGAAGGGCTCCCTGTGACTTGCAATTCCTGGCTTTGGGACCCAGGTCACAGGTGAGAGGGAGCCCCACAGAAATATACACTGCCTTCCCTACCTCCAGTGGCTGACCAGAAGGAGAGAGACCATGATTCAGGAAAAGAAAAGGATCTGGAGAGGGTCTCACCGTGCTGCCAGCAAAGCCTGGATGATTCCAGCCCAGGACTGAGTATCCAGCTGCAACACAGGGTTGAAGGGGCTGGGACCTCATGGCCTCCAACCCCATCCCCCCCAGGAGGGGTAGCAAAACACGGGGAGCTCTAATCACCCTGAAACTAGAGGCGGCAGAAGGGAGATGTGTGTTTGTGGGGAGGAGGGCAATAAGGTTATGGAACACAGCCCAAGGGTAGGGATGCAGAGTTAGCAGAGCAAATGGGGCATGAATTCCTGCCCCCTACACCAGCTGCAGGTGAGGGTTTCAAACTGCACCCACAGAAAGTCCTCAGGACTGGGGAAGTCATATCAGTGTGGGAAGATGGGGACGTTCTGTTCCAAGGGGCAGAGACAAGAGGGCTGAGCCATGGGCCTACCTTCCAGAGGTGTGGAGACGCAGCCCACCTCATAGAAGCCTGCGTTCCCCTCACAGCAGATCACCTGCGGAAGGAGGCAGGAAGGAGGGCTAGGAGAGAGCCAAATGGGACTAGGAGAGAGCCAAATGGGACTAAACATCCCCCTAGTGGCTGAAAGGCAGCCTGTGGGAGCCTCACAGGGAAGAGAAAAGGGTGCATTCCTGTTCTCTCCACAGGGAATGGTAACAATTCATTTCACAAGGTCCAGAAGTTGAGAGACAAAATGGATGTATATGCTCAGCAAACTGGACCCTCAGAGGAAGAAGAATGTCTTGAGTTGAGTTGCTCAAGCCCCCAGCAGTATCAGTGTGCCCTTGGAAGACCACAAGGTGTTATGTCTCTCAGGAATGAGATTTTGGGTATTTTTTCCTTTCTAATTTTTGGGTCTGTTTTTTTCTGTGACTGTTTCTTTTATGTGATAAGGCAATCACTTGTCCTCCCCATCTCTGGGCTCAAGTCTTATAACCAGGTAAACTATTTCCATGGTGCCCCAAGCCAAAGCCCAGAGATGATGGGATGTGCACAGATTCTCAGCAGTGGGCAGAGCAGAATTAGAACCCAGCTCACTGGCCTGATGGCTTATGGCTCTTTCCAAGGTTGCTTCATGGAGGACGCAGCAGATTTTAGACCCTGGGTTCAAATCCTGGCTCTCCCACTAACTGTGATTTGGGAAAGTGACTCTGTCTCAGTTCCATCATCTGCAATGGGCTAATAGAAACTACCCATGTTACAGGGTTGTTGTGAAAATTAAATACATGCATTGTGTGTGGTACATGCTATCTAAGTAGTGACTATGATGGTGATTACTTTTTGGTCCTTGAATATCCACCTCTATTCCATCTATTTCCCTATGGTAGGGTTTTCCTGCACCAAGAGGCCTTCAGGGTGGAGCTGGAAGAGGGGATTACTCACAGCTGTGCTTCCTGAGGGCTGCTGTACAACTGTGATCCCCAGAACCCCCACTGCCCTCCCCAGTCTACCTCTGGGCTCCCTGCTCCTCTCACCAGCTTCTGTCCCTGGGGCTCAGCTGTCCCCCGCCGGTCCACAAACATGGTGTCTATCTCATTGCCATCACAGGCCAGCAGCTTTGCCCGGCGCCCATCACACTGAATAGGGGAGATGCAAGGCCAAGTTAAGGACAGACCACATCCTTCAGGGGGCGAAGGGCTGTCGGGGGGCAGGGGCAGGGGAGCCTCACCTCTTCCACCAGCCGGGCCTGGCCCTGCAAGAGCACAGGCATGAGGGCCTTCTGGAGCAAGTACACAGAGCCCGGGTACAGCATCCGGCGCCCCAGGGTGTGGGCCACCAGGTAGCTGTGGGGAGCATGGAGTTAACAAACCCCCAGCCCCAGAAGGGCCCGGGGAGTGTCCCAGCCCTAGCACTCACAGGCTCTGTGACCAGCTCACCACTGACCTTCACAGCTTCATTTGCCTCTTTTGGGACTTAATGAAATATCACATGTACGAGGCTGGTGTTTTTCAAACTTTCTTTACTGCAACCTTTGTAAGATACATTTTATTTTTTAATGATTTTATTTACTTTTTATTTTTAGAAAGAGGGGAAGAGAGTGAGAAAGAGGGAGAGAAACATTTATGTGCGAGAGAAACACCAGTCGGCTACCCCTTGCACGTCCCCATTAGGGACCTGGCCTGAAACCCAGGCCTGTGCCCTGACTGGGAATCGAGCCAGCGAACTTCAGATTTGCAGGATGATGCCCAACCCACTGAGCCACATCGGTCAGGGCCATAAGATACATTTTGTATTGTGGCCCAGTATATATAATTCTGAAAATTTTATGATATTACATAATACTTTCTATATATGATGCATGAAAGCTATGTTATTATCAAATAAAAACCTGCTAATGTATAAATACAACTTAAGTCCCCAAATGAATACTTGAAAAAAATGGCAATTTTAATTCACTAAACTGATTTCAGATGCATTAGTGGATTGAGACAGGCATTTTGAAAGACACCAGCCGGACGGCACACTCCCTCAGAACAGGGCCAGCCACTTCATGTGCTCTGACGAGTCTGCTGTCCGCCACACAGGCGCTGCCCAAAGCCGGCACGGAGCAGGCGCTCACACATTCCCTGAATGGTTACACTAATCTAGACAGACATGATGTGGTAGGCGCCACTCCTAACGAAGACAGCTGACCACTTCCAGTCCATCCCAAAGTGGAACTTGTCCCCAGAACAACACCGCTTGACCCCTTCCAGCACCCCTCGCAGAGCTCCGACTTCAGCTTGCCCGTCTGACCAGTCAGCACACTATCAGCAACCATCAAGTCCAGCCCCTTCCCTGGTCTAGAACCTGCCTCCTAGGCACCAGCAACAGAAAGCTGCACTTATTACCTCCAACATCAAGTGCCAACAGCTATCATTTCTTTGGGCTTTCCCTTGTGCTCTCAGTTCTCCAGGCAAAGTCGATGCTATTCAGAACACATCACCCTATGTGACATCACCAACCCTGAGAGGTGGGTCATTTGCAGGTGCACAAACTGTAGCTTGCTCAAAGTGGGATAACCCAGGAGCAGACGGGCCAGGGCAGGGACACAGAAGCCACTAGACCCTGCTCCAGCTACAGCTCTGTGTCCCCTCCCCACCACCAACCACATTCTCCCCTCAGCCTCATCAAAAGAGCTTTTGTGTCGGAACTGTGTTACTTACTACCCCAGCTCTTCCTTCACCATCGGGGAGACTCTGGACTTCTCTGAGCCTCTTTTCTTCACACATGAACATGGACAAACATGACTTTGCCACAAATAATACAAAGCACATGGCATTAGGCCTAACAGATGACAGCTATCTTACAATGGAACACCCAATCCCAGAGCCCTCACTGCATGTCCCTGCCACCCCTGCTGACCTCTCCTCCCTGCTGCTTCTCACCTGGTGATCTGACAAGGCAGCTTCTTGACCCGGTTGAGAAGGGTGTCTGCTGTCCCCCGGTGCAGGGGCTCTGGGCGGAGCAGGGCCACGCCCCGACGGGAAGAGCCCCCTCGGGACTCCTTCCTGAGGAATGGAAAGATGCAGGGAAGGATGCGGTCGGGAGGATGGAGTCTGAGGTCTAAAGGATGGTGGGACTAGACAGAGGGGGTTGGGAGGCAGGGATGGAGTGAAAGAACTGAAGCTCACCAGCTGCTGGGCTCTTCCCAGTGGAAGTCAACTGGCCAGCTCTTGAAGTCAAAGTTGTAGTTGGCGAGCTGCCTCTGGAGTGGGCAAAGAGAGAAGGAGTTGGGGATTAAAGGAGAATTGAGCCCTGGCTGGTGTGGCTCAGTGGATTGATTGAGCACCAGCCTGCAAACCAAAGTGTCGCCGGTTTGATTCCCAATCAGAGCATGTACCTGGGTTGTGGGCCAGGTCCCCAGTAGGGGGCATGTGAGAGGCAACCTCACATTGATGTTGCCCTCCCTTTCTCTCCCTCCCCACCCCTCTCTAAAAGTAAATAGTAAAATCTTAAAAAGACTTTATTTAGAGAGAAGGGAAAGGAGAAAGAGAGGGAGGAAAACATTGATGTGATGTTGCCTTTCACACACCCCCGACTGGGGACCTGGCCCACAATCCAGGCATATGCCCTAGACTGGAAATTGAACCAGAGACCCTTTGGTTCTCAGGCTGGCACTCAATCCACTGGGCCACACCAGCCAGGGCTCAATAAAGAAAATCTTTTAATAAATAAAGGGGAATTGAGAAGTGGAGGTAGGTCCACCTACATACCCTCATCATTCTGGGCACTGGCACTGCCCACATCATGGGGAGACAAGCAGAGGTCAACACCCTCCCGGTTTTCAGATGAAAAGCTCTGACACGGCCAGGAAAATCCAGCCAGAAAGGATGTCCTGCCAGGTGCCAGACTGGCCTATCTGCCCTCTCCCTGAAGGGGAAGCTCACTGTTTGCTTTACCAAATCTAAGACCACCCTACCCCCAGGAGGGGTGGCTGGAGGTACTGGTGTTTCTGACGGAGGAGGTAGGGGGCTGCTGGCTCCCTTCCCGACCTGGGTCCTTCGCATAATGCTGTCTCCTGGGCTCAGAAACCCCCAGTGTATCAAACTGTCCCCAGCCTGGGTAAGAGGGGAGAAGTCATGCCTAGAGCGGCCCCTCTGCACCAGAGCTGCCTCCCTTGCCTCGATGCCTGCAGCACGAGCTGGCGCTACTGCCCAGACCAGTTTCTCCTTCTCTTTCTCACTCCTTTCTTTTCTTTCTAAAAGTAAGTAAATAAAATCTTTAAAAAAAAAAAAAAAAAAGGAACTTGACTCAGGGAGAGCAATAGAAAACTTGTACAAAAATATAAAGGGCAAAACAAAACTAAATAAAGAAAAGCATTTTCAGGCAGGTTATGTTCCGATCTGGACTTGAATTCAGATGCAGCCACTCCCTCCTCTGGGGCTCTGCATGGGGCTCTTATCCTCTTTGCATATTTCTTCAGGTGTATAAATGAGGGCAGCAAGGCCACCTCACCAGGTTGTTGTGAGAGTTAGAAAAGGCATGTGGAAATTACTCTCCGCATTTACATGACCACAGAGCACCATAAATGGTGGCTGGGGTAGCCAGTAACACCATTACCATCCTCATGGTGTTTGATCCCAGAAAGCCCTTTGCAGCAGGAAGGAGCTTTATAGGGTCCCCAAGCACCTTCTCAGAGGTGATCACACTCCAGCACTTGCTGGACTGGCACAACTCCAAGGACACTGTGCCCTGGTTTTTCTCCCTCCTGGCGCTACCCTGTGCTCTGGGCACAAGAGTGGACATACCAGTCCATCCTGCTCCAGCCCTGAACAAAACTAGCACGGTGTTCAATGTACACAGCGACAATGACCACTTACAGACCTGAGCTGTGTGCCAGAGAAGAAACCCCTGTCTGAGAAACACTGCAGAACGTTTCTACATCTAGATAATCCTTGAGGATGGAGGGTGGAGGAGATGACTCCTAGCAGAACATTCCATTAGAAGTGGCAGAAAGGAAAAGTTTGTCAGCTGACAGCTCACTTGGAGAGGGGAGAAGGGACAGAGCACTGTGCTGCAAACACCCAGGCATGGTGGGCGGTAAACACGCCTCTACTCCCCGGCAGAAGGGGAGCTGGTACCCTGGGAAGGCACCTATTTGGAGCTTTTCCTGGAACCTCTTACCTTGTTTTCTGCAGACTGGTTCCTATGTGTGGCCTCCAAGATGGTGATGAACTGCCGGTACTGGGGGTTGGTCCAGCGGCCAATGCCTGGTGGAAAGGGTAGGAAACTGTTAGGAAAGCTGGGAAGCAAGATGAGCAGGTTTCAGAAGAGAAATGGAGATGGGCAAGGAGAAGGTTCCAGAAGGGTAAGTGAGGAAAAGAAACCAAGGGCTCAGGATCTGGGCAAATGGGAGGGTTGAGCCGACCTCCTTCCTCCACAGCCAGCACTGGCAACAGCGTTCTTCCTGCCCTTGCCTCTTCAGTTTGTTTCCTCATGGACTATTGACCCCTCACCCTCCAGAATGTTAATGTCCAAGATTAAGACACTGTCACTATGGTCATTATTTGCCCTGTTAACAACGGGGTTTCTCCTCTTTCTACTGCCTCCCTTGTCCAGGGCTTGCAGCTATCTCTTCTGTAGTCTCACTCCCCGCCATCTGCTTTGCAGCTCTTGTCTTATAATTACTTCCTCAGAGGATCCAAATCCCCTGCCTTTGTCCTCCAGCTCCTCAACTCTGCCCTCAGCGCTCTCCCTGTCCCTTGAAATTCCTCCTTTCACTGTTCTCAGGGCCCATTCTTGCCTCCTTCCAATTCCTGGACTGCTCTGCCCCTGCCGCCATGCTACCTCCTTCTCTGAACCAAGAGCCATTCTCAGTGCTGAGCTCCCTTTGCTCTTCGCCTGGCCCCTCAGTGATCGCATCCGCTCTCCCTTCACTGCCGAAGAGCCTCAAATCCTGACATCTCTGCTTCCAATGACCCTACAGGTGTCATGTGCCAGGCACTGTTCTGACATGGGAAAGTCAGCAGGAAACGACGCAAGGTCCCAGCCCTCAGAGAACTGCCATTTTGGCTGAGGGTGGGGTGGGGCTGGAGAAAGACAAGAAACAGTCAACAAGAAAATTTCAGAGAGAGGTAAGTGCTATAAATAAAATAGAACCAGAATGAACTAGGGTGCTACGTATCACCAGTGGTAGAGTCCCAGAAATACTGAGAATGAAGCAAGCTGCAGACGATTTATGTAAAGCCATGTCATTTGTGTGAAAAAGCAAAATGCACAAAAAAATGCTACATAGTGTTTATACTTACCATATTTCATAGATTCTAGGCCGTTTTTTCACATTTGAAAACTTTTAAATCAGTATGCATTTTACAATACATGGCAGCAGTTTAGATTTGATGAAATGAAGTGTATTTCATAAAAGTATAAAAATACGCAGGACAAAACCATACCAGACGCCGATGGTTACTCTGGGGAAGGAGCACAGGCTGGGGAAGGGCCCGTGGGAACACCAGCACTAACTGCAATGCTTTCGAGTTTTACCGAAAAGGTATTTGAAGCAGTATCACAAAACATAAGCATTTTACTTATTTTTGATATTTTCTGCTCTGAACTTTTCGGTACTTAATCCCTGCCCCCCTCCAAATTTAAAAGAAATAAAACTTAAGACAAAATGAGGGGTAGGAACTACTTTTCAGCAGGGTAGTCAAGGAAGGCCTCTCTGAAGAGGGAAGCCCAGCCCCGTGGAGACCGGAAGGCAGAAGACCACGGGCAGAAGGTGCCCACCCTGGACTGAAGCCCACTGCACCACACAGCTCTGGACCACCACTCCCTTCTGCACGCATCCCCTCATCCAGTTTCTACCATGTGCACTCACCGGGGGCATGATTTGGTTTGTTTCTTCATTTTTTATTTGTGAGGTATGACAGACAAACATAAAATATACGTTCAGTTTAAAAAACATGAAGCAAACATTTATGTGACCATCACCCAGGTCAAGAAAGAGAACAAAACCACCTCTCACCAGAAGTCCTCCGAGTCCTGTCCCCACCCTCTCCCAGGTAATCACTCTCTTGACTTTCAAGATAACAATGCGCATGATTATGTGCCCATTTCTTTAGTGTTTGCCACTTATATATGCATCCCTTTTGAACTTTATATAAATAGAAACATACTGGATAAATCACTTGGTGGTCAGCTTTTTTCATTCAATTTTAAATTTATGAGCTTCATCTGAGCTGCTGAGTGCAACTCAGGTCTGTTCACTCGCAATGCTTTAGTGTGCTGTTGGAGGACTATGCCCTCAGTGGGTTTACCCACCCTGCTATTTGTGGCTGTGGAGCTATTTGCAGTGTAGCATTATTACAGACATAGATACAGATGTAAGTGGAATACATTATTGTAGGGTGTATGCAGCTTTTCTAGGTAATAGCAAAGTTTTCTGCTAATTATTTTTTTTCATATTTAAAACTCAAGCCCTTTAAGGAAAAGATCACACCTTGACTATTCTCAACTATTTTCCCTCAGAGGCCAACACAAAATTGCAGAAGCTACTTTACAAACATTTACCCAGTGATGGATGAATGCAAACCAGGCTCCCTCTCCACCTACCTCGGAGGCAGGCCACACCTGCCACCAGTAGTAGCAATGTCCCAGCATAGTGAGAAAACGGTACCACTTTGGACAGACTCAAGTAACCTGGGAGGGGAAAAAAACTATGTGAGCAGCTTTCCCCACCGCCTCTCCAGATCCTCTTCCCAGTTCCACCCCAAACTTCCACCCCACACCCTCTCATTGGGACAGCCACACCCTCAGAGGGAGAAGATGCCTGATGGAAGAGGGAAGCCAAGCCATCCTTGCAAATCTCCTTTCCTCTTTAGGGGGTTGGCTCATCTGCCAAAAACCTGCTCCTTTCCTGTCCCACCACCTTTGAAACCACACTGACCTTTCCTGTATAAGTAGAAGAAGGCGAAGGGAGAGGAGTAATAAGAGATGGACCAGAAGACTGAAGCCTGCAGCAGAGAGACAGGGACAAGCAATCAATACACACACACCCCTGCCATTTCCAGGCCTAGGCTGTGAGCAAAACGGATAACCTAAAGGATATCATGTGAACTACCTATTCTGAGCATGACATCATGCACACAGTAGGTGCTCAATATGTGTTGAAAGGCAATGTGTCAAGAATAGAACAAGCTGGTAAAACTAGGTACAAGTTCTATTTTCTTCCTATTATCATCTCCGAACATAATTCATCACATTTAATGGCCAGTCTCTCTTTCTACTCAATCAAGCTTTTTTGATTGGCCCTGCTCAGGATAGCACCTTGCCCAGTCCCCACAAGAGATGCACAAATGTCACCATAGGAACTCTGCCAGAGAGAACAGCTGTCCCTGCAGCCAAAGAGGTTAACTGCCAGAAGGACAGGTCACTGGGGACTGCAGGATTCAGCACCTGTGGACAGTCCCAAGACTAAACAAATTTCTCTCATGGCTCAGGCTGCTCCAGAGAAAGCAGGCACAAGCCAAAGAGGAGTGCCAAGTGTGTACGTGCTTGACTGTGTGTCTCTGTGTGTTGGAGAGGTCTGCTGCAGAGCCTGGAGCATCCCCTACCCCCAGGGGCAATGCCTTCTCCCAGGATAGGGAGCACAAAGTTCAGGAGGGCAGCTGTGGCCAAAAAGATGCAGTAGTCCCAGGTGCCAGGGCAGACATACCAGTGCCAGGATGCTGTCGGCATGTTTCTCCAGGGCCCGGGGCTGATAATACGTATCCTGCCGAAACAGATGCCCACGTTAATGATCCGTCTCCTTTCCTTTGGGAATCCCCGATGTGTGTCCTCTGGTTCTAGCTTCCAAAACTGTCTCTCCTGGGATATCCCTGGTTCCCAAAGAAACCCTTCTTCTCCAGGAGTGCTCTGAACCCGATTTCCCACCCCACACCATAAGAACAAACACCTGGCTGGACTTAGAAGCAAAAGTGAAAGTGGGATTGGACGACTCTGGCTCCTTTTTCAGGGCCCAGTTTCAAATGGGTTGCGGGCGTGTGCCTATGGGGAGAGCAGGGTTAGGGAAGAAAGGAAAGACACCATGACAACTTTAAGAGGGAAAGAAGAGCATCAGAAATAAGATCAGGTTGATTTAAGAAGGGAATGTGGCTGGGGGTGGCAGTTTGCCGGAGACCGGAAACATAATTCGAGACTACGGATACAAGAAGAACTTAGAGGCACAGCCTACCACTATCCCCAGTTTTCACAAGTGCAATGACCCTGGGGTCTCCACAGTAGGGTGAGGGGTGAGGTGGAGACCAACGGATGGGTGATATGTTGAACAAGTTATATGGGAATTCAAAACGTACTAGAGAGAAGATAAAACAGAACCGGGGAGGCATCAAGAGGCACTAATTAAGAAGAAATCGAGAGGCTGACGGCAAAACCCTCCAGCTTCCGAATCCGCGCGAGGTCTCTTCCGGGACTTAAAAGTCAATTGGGGCGGGCATGAACCACGACACACAGGGTCGGGGGCCGCGAGAGGAAAAAGCAAGGAGTGGCAGTCAGAATACCAAAGCGGTGGCAAACAGCGATAAAGGAGGTGGCCAGCCCACAGGCGTGACTTTAATCCAGGAAGCACAAATAACGCAGACTGTGCGCACCACTGACTCGTCAAGCAGGCTCCCCCGATTTCCAATAATCAGCGCTTCTGAGGAGCCAAGGCCGCAAAGGCTTTTGAGCCGTACCATGTTTCCGACCGGGGGAGAACTCGACTCACCCAGGAGCTGGAAGGGGGGCTCGTGATTGAAGCTGAAGTTTCAGGGACGCCGGAACCGGTCCTTTCAGAGTCCCTTCCGCGGTAGATTTTGTAGAGCCGGGGGCCGAGGACGCAGCTCAGCAGCTTCGCCATGGCCCTGGCTCGGGGCCCTACTCTCCCGGCAGCAGTTCCCCCTGCGAGCCCCGCCCTCTCCGGCCTCTAGGAGTTGCGTTTCCTTGACGTCAGCACGTACTGGCGCCGCCTCGAGCCGAGACGCTTTCAGAGCCTCTAGAGAGGATATCGTGCAGTCGGACCTACGGGTGCGGCAGTGCTCAGAAATTACCTGGAGGCTTTTGGAACGCGGAGAGTTAAAAAATTATCAGGCATGGTTTAGTCACTTTTTTTCTAGCCCTCGATACTGGGGGACCCTCGAGAGAAGTTGGTTAGGACTGGTAGTATTAGGAACACTTGACAAGAGCAGTAAGAAAAGGTTTGATGCCCAGGAATACATCTAATAAAAGAAATGCAAGGCTTTATGAAAAAAAAAATATATAAAGTTATTGAAAGAGGTAAACCAGGCTTGAATAAATGGAGAGCTACCCCATGGACGTGGATAGAAAGCGTGGTTAAAATGTATGAAATACTGGTAAAAAAAAATTTTTTTGATGAATCACCATTCCTAAGCACCATCAAATCTCAAAGTCATATTGTTGAGTGAAAAAAAAAAAAAGCCACAGATTACATACAACATGACACCACTGTATAAAGTTCAAAAACAACATTTAATGAACAAGTGAAAGATAAAACAAATTTGGAAAAGTGCAACACAGCATAGAGAATCTTTTTTCTTTTTTTTAGATTTTATTTATTTACTTTCAGAGAGAGGGGAAGGGAGCAAAAAAGAGGGTGAGAAGCATCAATGTGTGACTGCCTTTTGCCCGCCCCCAACTGGGCACCCAGCCCACAGCCCAGGCACATGCCCTGAGGGAGGATAGAGTCAGTGACCCTTTGGTTTGTAGGCCAGCACTCAGTTCAACTGAGCCACACCAGCCAGGGCCTCTTTAGCATTTTATTGCAGTAAACACATACACTGAAGCCCTGGCTGGCATAGCTCAGTGGATTGAGCGGGGGCTGTGAACCCAAGTGTCACAGGTTTGATTCCCAGTCAGGGCACATGCCTGGGTTGCAGGCCACGGCCCCCAGCAACCACACATTGATGTTTCTCTCTCTCTCTTTCTCCCTCCCTTCCTTCTCTAAAGATAAATGAATAAATAAAATCTTAAAAAAAAAACATACACTGAAAAGTGCACCAGTCGAATCTATGCCTCAGCACCCAGATTAAGAACACATCTTTGCCAGTATAGAAGACACTGTGTAGATCACTACCAATTGCTACCTATCCACTAAAAGTAACCACAACCTTAATTTTGAAATTCTTAGATTAGTTCTGCTTGTTTTTGTACTTTATATAAATGGAATAACACAATGTGCTTCTTATTTCTGGCGTCTTTTACTCTCATTATGTTTGTGAGATTCAACCTTGTTGCACGTCACTGTGATTTGTGCATTCTCATAGCTGTTGAATGGTCCACTGTGTGAATATACCACAGTTTACTTAGCCATTATACAGTTATACATTAGAAATAGTCTTTGGTATGTATGGACTATTTTATACAAAAATAATTTTGAAAATAAATAACCTTTAAAAATAAGTAACACATTAAAAACTATTACAGCCATATGAAGACATGAAGATCTGACTTGAAAGCCCCGCCTGGGATAAAGGGATGAGTCCATGAATTTTCCAGGCCCTTGCCATTCTTCTCCTTGAGCAATAATTTTATATACTCATCTGAGGCTCAGAAAAGGTGTGTAGTGTGCCAGGCAGCCCCAGGGAAAGCCATTCTAAATAATTTCTGAAGTATTGGCTGTGTGTGCAGTCTCATGCTGGGTTCTGTGGAAACCAACATAAAGATTCAGTTTCTTCCCTCATGGCTGGCATCTCTTAGGGTGGAGGAGCGAATGCTTCCAAACTCATGGGAGGTCTCAGAGACCTGTGACCCCTTCTGTTCAGGTTTCTTAGTGTAGAGAGTCTTTGATCTGAATTCCTCTGCCAATATGGAGTCAGGAGTCAGAAGGGTGAGGAGGTTTTCTTTGGAGCAGCCTGGACTGGGTCTTTCCCCCAAGACAGACAGATAGTGGTCACTTCTTCCCCAGTGGACTTACAGCTGGGCTTTATCTCCCCAGCATTCCCATCCCCTCCAGAAGCCTATGTCACTGCAGACCAGAGAGTGTGGGCCTTTATCTGGATTCCATTTCCTCCCTGGGGACACCAGGTCCTAGGCAAGAGAACTTGAAAGGCTCTTCCCATGGCAGTCTTATTTCTCCTCCTTCTGCACCTCTGTGGGCCCTCCCAGGCTGCTGCTGGTAAGGAGCAGATGATAGGGGATTCCAGGAGGTTGTGAGGGACTGCTGCTGTTTCTCCTTAGGGGCCCAGGGAAGGCATCTGATTCAAGAAGATAGATTTACCCCAATTGACCTCCCTCTGTCTCTTATACTGGGGAAGACTCGGAGACCCTGGGGATCCAGGTCATGTGCAGTTTCCTTTAGAAAATAAGAATGGGTGAGTATATACTTCCAGAAAAGGAGAAATGAGAAGAAGAGATATGGGCATTTGCCAACTATTCCAGCCTTTTCTCTCTTGCCCTGAGATCCCCTCATTCACTGGAGAGGGGAGGAAAGCCCCTACCCTCTTCTCTCCACCTCACATTTTTTTCAGCTGTCCCTTGAGAAATGTGTTCATAGCCAGACCAGTGTTGGGAGACTTCAGAAAGGGAGGAAGCCAGAGGTTGGAGGTCAGAGCTGGGTGGTTGCTGATCTGATGGAGGTCTCTGGCCTCACACAAGCCCCTTCCCACAGACAACTTCCAGGCCATCTATGTTGCCTTGGGAGAGGCAATGGAGCTACCATGTCCCTTACCACCCATCCTGCATGGGGACGAACTCCTGTCCTGGTTCCGCAGCTCTGCAACAGGCTCTTCCACTACCCTGGTGACCCAAATCCAAGTGGTCAGCCCAGCCCCAGACCCTGGGAAATCTGGAAGGGAACCCAGGCTCAAATTGCTAGGGAACTACTCTTTGTGGCTAGAAGGATCCAAGGAGGGAGATGCTGGGCGGTACTGGTGTGCTGTGCTGGGTCAGCGCCACAAGTACCAGAACTGGAGAGTGTATGATGTCTCTGTGCTCAGAGGTGAGTGAGGGCATGCAGACCAGGGGCCACTGGGAGATGGGGAAGCCCAAGCAAGGGACTGAAGGGTCTTTCTCACCCCACAGGATCCCAGTTATCTGCAAGAACTGCAGATGGATCCCCCTGCTCTGTCCTCCTGTGCTCCATGGTCCCTGCCAGACGTTTGGACTCTGTGATCTGGCTGGAGGGGAAGAGTCCTGTGAGGGGCCATGCACAGTCCTTCTGGGGCGATGAGGCTGCTCTGCTCTTGGTGTGTCCTGGGGAAGGGCTTGCTGAGCCCAGGGGCCATAGACCAAGGATCATCCGCTGCATCCTCCCTCAGAATAAGGGGATCAGCTTTAGCCTGGCAGGTAAACTGAAGGAGGGTATGGGAAGCAATATTCCCTCTGGCACATATACACCTGCTGGGAGGAAATGAGAGAGGAGGCGAATTTGTTAGTGGCCAGATGGGGAGGAGTGATTTCAGGTGGAGCTGATTATAACCTGTGAGAAAGTCCTTCTCAATGAGAAAGGGCTTCTTTCTCATTGACTGAATCCATAACAAAGAAGAGGGTTGGTTAAGCCAGCTTGCTGGTGGAATAGACGGTCTGCAAAGTGAAAGGTCTCTGGGTTCGATTCCCGGTCAGGGCACATGCCTGGATTGTGGCTCAGTCCCTGGTTGGAGTGCTTACCAGAGGCAACCAAAGTTTCTCTCCCTCTCGCCTTCTCTTCCCCTGCCTCTAAAAATAAATAAGTAAAGTCTTAAAAGAGAGAGAGAGGTTAACCTATGATTTGTGAGGAATATCCTCTAGCAGAGAGGAAGGAAAGAAGAATTCTTGTGAGAGAGCTGTCTTTTGAAGAAAGGACATATGCACAGATGTTATAATGGCCCATTGATAGTGAAGGCAAAAGGGGAAAAAATATTGTTTTACCAGAAAAAGTCCATTATACAGAGAAAGAATGCTGTTGGATGTGGAATAACCCATTTACAAGGCAGGAGGGAGGAGCAAATGGCCATTATTTTGGTAAGCAAAGGTCAATATGGCAGTGACTGGGCTTTATTTCCTACTACATCCACAGCACCTGTTATGCTGCTTGGCATGTGGTGGGCACTCAGTGAACACTTATGGAGTGACAGAAGGAATGAGTACAGGGAAGGCACTTTATTTTTTCTTGAAAGGGTGGGTTATTGTGAAGGACATGAGGAGAAATGACAGTTATGGCATGGGGCCTGCTTAGTTAGCTGGCCATGTGCGTGCTGGGTGTGGGAAGGCATTACCATCTCCGTCCATGCTGGCTCATGGAGTCAGGGTGAGAGATCTGGAAAGGGGCAAAGTCGGGGGTGGATATTAGGAGCAAGGACATTTATGAAGTCTTCTTTTGGGAGAGCCCACAAGACTACGGTGGAAGCCTGTCTTTGGGGCATAGGGACAGACCCCCTCACTGCCTCCCCCCTTATCCTCTTGTCTTGCCTTTACTGCAGCCTCCACGGATGCCTCTCCTGCCCCCTGTGCTCCTTCCACGGGCTGGGATGTGCCCTGGATCCTGATGCTGTTGGTCACAGCAGGCCAGGGGTTCACCATCCTGGTCCTCAGCATCGTGCTCTGGAGGCGGAGGGTTCAGGGTGCTCAGTGCAGAGGTGAGTCTTCCCTCCCAGAGGGAAGAAGAGGGCACTTGGGTGTGAGACAGAGGGTTGGCTCATATTTTGCCTCTGTACCCCATCTTCTCCAGGGGAGCAGGGGGTAGGGAATACAGCTCTGAGTTACCTGGTGACTTCTCTGCCACACCTCATATGACTCCTTCTTCCCAGATGCCTCAGTTCTTCAGTTCAAACCTGAAATCCAGGTCTATGAGAACATCCACTTGGCCCGTCTCAGGTGAGGAACAAGTAAGGGGACACAGGCTTAAATCCCAGAGGGTACTGGGGTTGGGGTGGACATGGGTTCTTGATTCCTGAGGGGATGAAAAATGGAAGTAACCTTTTTAAAAAAAGATGTTATTTACTTTTAGAGAGAGGGGAAGGGAGGGAGAAAGAGAAGGAGAGCAACAGCAATGTGCAAGAGATACATCATTCAGTTGCCTCTTGCACGCCTCCAACTAGGGACCCTGCCCTGCAACCAGGCATGTCCCCTGACAGGGAATCAAACCTGTTGCCTTTCGGTTTGCAGGCCAGCCCTCAATTCACTGAGCCACACCAACCAGGGCTGGAAGTATCCTTAATCTGCCTTTCTGTTTCACAAAACCCACAGCCCACCTGCTCCCAAGACCAGATGATCTCAGTGACATCTGCTGGAAAGTGACCTGCTGTTTCCCTGGCCATCTGCCACCTAAAGGATTCCCTGAAAAATCTTGGCAAGAGGGGAGGGGCCGAGAGTGCTACTTCACAATCCAGCTGGTCTCCAGTGGACAGGCTGTGTGTGTATTGGGGTGGGGTCTGAAGGAAAGGAGAAGCATTATCTTGTGATGTCACCTATGAGAAGGTGTGGTCTCCTATCTGTAGCAGCCAGTGGAGGGTGGCCCTGAACCCGAAGTCATAGGGTTGAGGGAAGCCTGGTGTAGCTGGTGGGGGACAGAGGGGTGAACAGGGGTAGGGATGGGTGGAGAGGAGACAGAGGAATCCAGGGACTTGAGCAGTGGTGGAGAACCAGGCATGGAGGAACCAGAGAACAAATGGTGGAAACTGAAGAAGAGAGAAGGGAAGAGACTCAAATCAGAGTAAGAGTCGAGATGTTCAGAGATACAGAAAAACAGAAGCACAAAGTGGGAGGATTGATGGACAGAGAGAATGGAAAGAAAACTCAAGTTGCCTCTAAATTAAGCCAGCCCCTCACCCTCCAATCCTTACAAAGAAGAGAAGAAGCCGAGAGAGAACAAGCACCTTTAATTAGACCCCAGACTTCCTCAGATGAAAGGGAAGGGAACTGGGTCAATATGGGGTACCCATGCTTGTCCCCCACCCCATCACTTTCCTTATCCTAGGTGCTCCGTTGTGGCATCTAGAGTGGTAAGCTGCTTATCGTCACACTGCCATCCTGAGATACCAGAGTCACATGTTATCTCCCTGGGCAGGGGTGTCCACAGGGGCAAGAGGGTGGATTCCCTGGCAGGGTGTGTAATAGGACCCTGCAAGCTGGGCTGTCTGTGAACCACGGACAAGTCTGGTGAAGCAGGGGAGCACAGTGACACTCCCAACTCGTCTATTGCCCAGGCTCAGGCAGAAACAAGCTCAACGCCCAGCCACACTCTCACAAGCAGTTCCACCCATTGCCCTTCTGAGTATCTGCTCAATCTTGGGCCTCCCTGGAGCAAAGCTTTCTTAGAAGTCTCACTTAAAGCCTTCACAGGACAGTGGCTTCAGCTAAGCTATTGGCAAGCCAGAGGACACGAATGACACAGATGGAGAATGAGGTGACAGCTGTGGTTCAGGTTCCAGCACTCAGCACAGCTCACTGAGCAGCTATAGTTTGACTTTGGAGAACACACACAACACACACACATGGCAGTGTTACCAGACCCCCAGACAGGGCTCTAAATTTATTTTTCATAGTTCCCCAGGCCCTCCTTCCTGAGTTCCTGACCTACAAACCTAACCTTCCCTAGCAAGACTCCCCTCCTCACTATATGTGGTATGTATCCCTTTCATCCCTCTGCCTAGGACCCACAGCCCCATCAAACACCTGCCTTACTAGAGATCTGGGGCTAGGAGAGGGCATCAGTAATGGTCACCTAGAAAAGGCAAAAGACACAGAACAGGTGTTTTTTTATAAGGCTGGGCTCTGGGCAGGTGGCTGTAGGGGCTGTAGTAGTACTCATAGGAATCAGGTCTGGAAGGGGTCTGCAAAGGTGTTAGGCCAGGGATCTGAGGTCTCCGCACAAAGTCAGGTTCTTGGCTATATCTCAAAACTGTCTGGGCAGGTGTTTTCAGGGCCTTGGTGATGGCAGAGGAGTCCTGGGTTGAAGGCTGCAGATCTGAGTGAGGCTAGCGAAGGAGGTTGCCTCCCCAGGTGAAGGTGGCCATGAGGAGCAGGGTGGTGAGGGGGAGGCTGGGGTGGCGCTGTGGCATGGTGGCCACATTTCACAGGTCCTTGTTGCAGCAGTCATGCTGCAGAACATAGGAGTGTGACCAGTAGGTGGCATGGCCAGGCAGAGAACACAGTGCTCTTGGGAAGCAGCCTTTCCACTGGATGGTCTCACCCTGCTCTGTGGGATGGAGGGGAAATGCTAAGGCAGGGAGAAGAAGGCGATAAGGCCAGGGGCAGCAGGAAAGGGTGGAGGTGGGGAACAACCCGGAGTAGGGCCATTGAACCAGAATCGTACCCGAGATGCCAAAACTGATGCCACAAACTTCATCGTCCTAACACTCAGTGGGAACAGGATAGCAGGGTTTGGCAAAGCTGCAGGTGTAGCAGCAGAGCCGCCTTTGGGCAGGGTAAGTGGTGAGACCTGTGGGGTTGACAGAGATCAGGAGGTGCGGAAGAGAAGCAAACCCACTAGGTAAAAGACAGAGCCAAGACCCAGGACAGGGATGCACAGAGAGAGGTGGCACACAGAGCGCGCCGAGAAGCACTGAAGTGGAGCGAGAAGGGCAGGCAGAGGCAGAAAAAGAGACACAGAGAAAGGAGGGGAGACAGGAGAAGAGAAAGTCACAGAGGCAAAAGAGATACAAGGATTGTGAGACACATATGTGAACAGAAGCCAAAAGAATCAGCGATGAATTTAGAGACTAACAGAAGCCGAGGGTGGGAGATGGCAGTGAAAAAATTAAGCAGATGGTGAAAGAGACAAATGAGAAAATCTGAATTGACATTTACCAAGGGACCCAGCAAAGAAGCAAGAGGTGAGATAAGGGACAAGGGAAACAGAGGCTTGTTAAAGATGCCACAAGAAGAGACAGTTACTCTCCAGTGCCTTTGGAAGAAACTTGATCAGGCTGGTCTGAGGCCATTTCCTGTAGCTCCTTTCCAAAGCTCCTACAGCTAACTCTCTTCTTGGTGACTCTCAGCTCCCTTGGTCCCCCAGCCCTCAGGCCTTTCCATCAACCCCTTCCCTAGCTGTCCCACCCCAGCCCCAGAGGATCCCCAACCCCACGTTACCCAGTGCCCTGCAGAAAAGCGGCATGCTGGAGGAAGGTGCTGGAGGTGCCCACGGCTGGGCCCAGGGCTCAGGAGTCTGGTAGAATGTGACCTGCATCCTGAGTCCCCCAGGTTGGAGAGTTGGAGCATCTGAGTGAGACAGGGAGGGACCAGTAAACAAACACATCTAAGGAGTGAACCTTAGTGCGGGGCAGGGAGGGCAGAACCCAGACCAGATTCACCAGCCTGACCAGCAGTGGCCTTGGTCCTCTGCTCCTACACCCCATAGGAGTGTACCCCACATCTCCCGATTTCTGCTGAAGTCTGCTCTTGCCTTCAGGGTTTTCTCTATTCTCTCAGCTGTGTCCGAGCTCCAGAGTTGAGACTGTCACCTTCCCCCTGCTCCTCTCCCTTCCCCACACTTGTCTCAAGCTGTTCTCTCTTTTCCCCTTCTGTTCATTTAAGTTTCTCAGCATCACCCTCCAAACAATCCTGGCCCAGATCCATTTGAAATAATTTATTTACCAATGTGTGGTTGCCTCTCCTGTGCCCCCCAACTGGGGACCCAGCTCGCAACCCAGGCATGTGCCCTAACTGGGAATGGAACCAGGGCGACCCTTTGGTTCACATGCCAGTGAGCCACACCAGCCAGGGCCCAGATCCATTTGAGTGTGGAATCAACAACATCCCCTCCACCACCCACACAAAGACCAGCTGCTTAAGAGAGGGTCCCAGGCGACTTCAGCTCCTTTGATCCCCCGAAGGCTCAACATCCCTATCCCATAATGATCTCTTCCAGTTTACCACCTGGGAGGAAAGAATTAGTCACACTTGGGGTCAGTGGGTTGAATATGTTCCCACTGGGATGAGGTCAGTGGTGTGGGGATCACAAAGACTAGGAAGAGCCCTGGCCAGGTAGCTCAGTTGGTTGGAGCATCATCTCAATGAGCCAAGGTTTTGGGTTGGATTCCCAGTCGGGGCACATATGGGAAGCAACCAATGAATGTGTAGATGAGTAAAACAGCAGATGGAACAGCAGATGGATATTACTCTCTCTCTCTAAAAAATAAAAAATAATAAATTAAAAAAATTTAAAGACGAAGAATAAATGCAGAGATAAGATTTGGGGGGCAGTGGCAGAGTGTGGAAGACAGGGGTTTAAGAGACTGGGGAGGAGGAAAGCCACATCTGGAGAATCAGGGCAGGACCGCCCGGACACGGCTGGGTGGAGTGAGGCGGGCCAGAGGAGGCACATCTCTCCGGAGAGCAGCAGTGCCCCAGAACTTACCTCAGGGCCTCTTTATACTTTCAAAATTAGTGAAGGCCCCAGAGACCCTTTCTCTGTGAGAGTTATATTAATGTGTACTCTATCAGAAATAAAAACAGAACCTTTTAAACAAGTTCATTTAAAAATTAATAAACCTACTACATATAAACAAAACATGTTTTTGCCTCCTTCCCGTGCCTCTCTCCCTCCCTCAGCACTGGGCTTCCTTCAGGCCTACAGTGTTATCCACTCTGCCCCCAACCTGCCCCCTGGAACTCAGTGTCACCTTTCTCTTTACCTGCCAGTCTCTCCTCTGGATCGGCAGCTCCTGGAACAGGTGCCTAACCTCTTTTATTCTGCTTCTCCAGCACCTAACACAGTACCTGGCATGCCCATGGGTGCTCAGTGAATATAACTGGCAATGCCTGGATGGTGTGGGTAAAGAACTTTCCCAATGAAGATGGCTGGGTTTTCATAGCTACTTCTACGTTCAGTCTATTGGGATATGTTCGTTTGTTTGAAGTATATGAAGAAAATCTGACTTCACACAGATATGTGGTTGGAAAAGGAAGATCACTGAGGACCCTCTGAAAGGGTCTCAGAACCACTGTTGGGGATGGAGGAGTTGGGGAGTCCAGAGGATATTGACAGCTTTCTCCCGTGGGCGCCTCTCCCTGTCTCCATTGGAGTCCCCAGTGCCCGCTGAAGGACTCTATTTCCTCCCTATAAAGTCCAAGGCAAGGGGGATATAAGGCTGGCAGAGCAGGGCCAGAGGGGGTGGGAGGGAGAGGCCCCACTGACCCAGGCAAAAGGAATGAACAATGGATAGGCAACCAATGGATATTCTCTCTTACATCAAAGTTTCTCTCCCTCTTTCTTCCTCCCTTCCCCTCTCTCTAAAAATAAATAAATAGAATCTTAAAAAGAAAAAAAAAAACCTCAGCACAATACTACTAACTGATCCGCAGACCTTATTCAATGTAGCCCGTTGTTCCAGGACACAAACTAGAAGCGCACACTGTATTTAGCTCTCATGTCTTTTTAGCTCCCCCAACCTGTGACAGCTCTGAGTCTTTGTCTCCCATGACCTTGATAAGGTAAAGCTTTTGAAGAGTCCTGATAAGTTATTATATAGAATGTCCCTTGACTTGGATTTATTTAATGTTTTCTCACAATTAGACTGAGGTCATGAGCTTTTGGCAAGAATACCACAGACATGGCGTTGGTTCTTTTCAACGCATCACATCAGTGGTGTTACAATGTCGGTGTGTTAATTTTGATCACTTGGTTTTAGGGACGTGTTTTTATTTTTTAAAGATTTTCTCTTTAGCCCTGGCTGGTGTGGCTCAGTGGATTGAGCACTGGCCTGCAAACCAAAAGATTGCTGGTTCGATTCCCAGTTGGGGCACATGCCTGGGTTGTGGGCCAGGTCTCTGGATCCTCCCTCCCTTCCCCTCTCTCTAAAACAATAAATACATAAAATCTTTTTTTAAAAAAATCTTTTTTTAAAAAAAAATATTTTATCTTTAGACAGAGGGGACGGGAGGGAGAAAGAGAGGGGGAGACAAACACTGATGTGAGAGAGAAACACCGATTGGCTGCCTCTCATAGGCCCCACCCTGGGACCAAATGAGCAACCCAGGCAGGTTCCCTGACTGGAATAGTCAAACTGGCAACCTTTTGCTTTGTGGGAGGATGCCCACCCAACTGAACCACGCCAGTCAAGGCAGGTGGTGTTTTTCAAGGGGCAGAGAATCCTTTTGGGCTCCTTAAAATCACATCTGTTCTACCAGGAGGCAAGTCCCAGGGCAAGGAGGCTAATGCCTCTGTCTCATTCTCTCTCTCAGCCTTGGTGACCTTGCCTTGTTACCATCCAGCTTGTGTGGCACCTCATGATTGCAATCAAGTGGAAACAGAGTCGGTGCAAGATGTGAGGTACACAACCCACGGGGACAGCAACACTCAAGCCCCGTGCAACAGGGCTGTGGCAAGAACCCTGGCCCTCACCTGCATCTTGGCTGAAGTAGGCAGTGCCCTTGCCTGGGTCTTGCCAGACTGTGGAGGGGATACTGGGAGTAGAGGACAGAAAGGGAGTAAGGGAATGAAGATCTGAGGTGAGAAGACACAACTCCTCTGTGAGCTGCTAAAATCTGTCGACCACTCAAGGGCTGACTGGAAAATTCTATTTCTCTTTTGTTGAAGGGAGAGCTGAAGGAGTAATATGGGGGCACTCAGGTTCTAATTTGGGGGTTACCAAGCATCAGTGGACTTAATTATGATGTACTCCTTAACCGACCCAACTCCAAAAGACAATGGAAAATCTGCCCTGTTACTCCTGGATCTTGTCTCTAATCCTAACCCTAACCCTTTCTTAACAATGAGGATCATTGAGGGGAGCAGGCTGTGGGCTGAGGGGGGCTCCTGAGAAATCAGTAAACCTGGTTGTCTGAGTTGGTTCTACTGTCCCCCATTTGCATCTTAGCTCCCAATAGGACCCTTTTGAATTGAGAAAGGAAATAAATGTAAGCCTGTGATAGGAGGTACATTCAGCGTCCACTTAGTAACCAGGCCAGGTGAGGACTGACTGTAACCTGAAGGACTGGTGCCTGGAAAGAGGGTCCTGGGTCCTATCCCCATGCAATTCTCCTGCCCTTTTTGGGGAGCCCTCAGACCAGGCTGCATCTGCTTCTTAGCAGTACCTCAGAGGTGTGGCCTAAATTTGAGATAAGGATCATTTCTCCAAATACTGAGACCTGTGTGCCACCCCCAGATACTGGAACAGAGGATGGAGGCTGGAAAAACTTGTTTCTCCATTTGCTCCCGCCCAACCCTCCCGGGAAACTCCCAGAAGGATTCTTGGGTAAGGGCGGGGCCTGAAAGTGTTATTTTTCTGGGAGAGGGGGCTTCTGACAATAGGTCTTCTGCAAATAAATGCACCACTTATCAGATACAGACTTTTATCATTCAAAATAGAAAGAGGTGAGCAGGGGGATGGGGTACACATGGCAGCCCCATACAGTGGGGACAGGATAGAAGCCCCATTTCAGGCCTAGATCTCAATCCACCCCCCGCCCACCCTCAGCAGGGCATGGTAGAGTGCAGGAGACGAAGTGGGGACCCCATCTAGGAGCCAGTGGAGGATCTGGAGTAGTCTGGAGGGCAATGGGAAGGGACTTGAGAAAAGCAGAGAGGAGGGTGTGGGATGGAATGATGGATAGGGAGACCACTGTCTAAAGAAATGTGAAGAGTCTGGAGAAATGTTTTTGTGAGCACAGGGAGCTAGGGAGAGACCATTGCTGAAAGCCAGGGGATATGGAGACACAGGGAGAAAGGCTCAGGCTTAGGCAGTGGGGAGGAGAGGCAGCCATGGAGTGAGTGTCAGTGCAGCAGACAGAAGCCAAGGCCAGCCAAGGAGGTAAGGAGGACCAGGGCCAGGGATGGGGTGGGCCGAAGGGCTGGACTATTGCACTTGTCCTTGTCACAGCAGGTTGTGTTATAGGTCAGGCACAGCTTGCGACTGGTTTGGTTGAAGGTGTCTCGACAGGCCTTTTCAGTAGTGCCACAGCAAAGGTTGAGAAAACCCACATCTTGCCCGGGGGCATGAGTGGCAGCTGGGATGTGTTCACCTCTCCCCATGAGGTACCCACCCAGGCTTCCTTCCTTCCCAACTCTGCCCAGTTTCCCCCACCTTTTTTTTTTTAATCTTTTTTCAGTCTAATCTTCCTCCTGCACTTCCAGGCCCTCCCCCTGATTCAATCCTGATCCTGTCTGGCCATGAAGCTTTGGGCCCGTTACTGTCTCTTTCTGAGGCTATTTCCTCAGTATAATAATAACAGCCACATCATAAGGTTGTCATTAACATTAACAGAAACAATCCATGTAGAGACACACAGAATGCTACCTGACACATAATAAATTTTGGCCAAATGTTCTCATTGCTGTCATTCTCTGTTCCATCTCAGCATTGCTGGGCTTCAGCCCCAGAAAGTGGGGGATATTATGGAGGTACCCATTTGTTGTTAGGCATTTGTGTCCTGGTTTCAGGTGGCAGTACTACTGGTCCACACAGCCCAGTAGCAGGAGTGACAGTGAACGTGAGCTGGGAAGACACAAGTCAGGCTGAGGTGATGGGGTGTCCGACTCACCTGGGGCTGAGCCGAACCAGCGGATATGGTGGGGAAGAGCCAATGCAGTAGGTGTCCTGACCTGCTTGGTCTGGCAGGGAAGAGCAGGTGAGTGATAGAGAGAAGGTGGAAGTGGATGAGTGTGGCCTCGTTGATCTATGAATGGCCTACACACTAAATATCTTCCTCTGCTCCACTCCATCTGGGGATGAGTCAGGAGGGGCAGGGCTACCAGCAACAGCACCAGGCTAGGGATAGATGGAAAGTGAGTTCCATGGGATGGAGGAGGTGGGGAAGAAGGTGAAAGAATTCAGAAGAGGTCACAGATAGAGACTTGAAAGAAGAAAAAATATTAAAAACAAAAGTCATGAGGATACAACACATGCAGAAATGGCTTGGAACTTGAGAATGGCAAGAAAACCACGTGTAGCCCTGGTTCGTGTGGCTCAGTGGATTGAGTGCTGGCCCTCGAACTGAAAAGTCACCTGTTGGATTCCCAGTCAGGGCATACACCTGGGTTGAAGGCCAGGTCCCCACCTGGGTGTTGGGGACCACTTTGTGTGATATCAGAGACTGTAGCCCCACTTGATCAAAGCTTTGAAAAAGGCCTGTAAGTCTCCACCAGAATGCCAGGAATGCAGGAGCCAGGCATGACCCGATAATAGCACTGAGGGTTTCTGTGGGAAATCAGGCCTGAAGAATACATTGTATCCTTTGCAGTTGCTTTGCTTTGTATAGCCCTGTTGATATAAACCAGATATTTAAGTTCAAAGCATAAGGGAGTGAACTCCTAATCTCATGAAGCAGGCCTGAACAACCCTCTGACATCAGTTCAACATGTCTAACAGACCCTGACCTGAGGCAGATCTCTGAGTTTCCTTGATTGTTATCTATAGATATCTGTTTTCTGTAACCATAGCCTTTAGACATCGATTGATGAGCTTTTCATGCATGCTGTATACCCCTTCCCCTACTGATCCCAACAAAAGCATTGTTGGAGAAGGGATTGGGGCATCTCCACTAGAGGGAATTGTCACCCCCTTTCCTGTTGGAATGACAGACTGAGTTCAGGATGACTTATTTCTCATTTGCTTTGGCCAGGAGAGCTCCGAGGGATGGGGCATCCCACACTTGGGGCATGGGAAAGGCAACTAACTGATCAATGTATCTCTCATACATTGATGTTTCTCTCCCTCCGTTTCTCCCCCTCTCTAAAAATAAATAAATACAATCCTTTAACAAAGTACAAGAAATATGTGAAACTGTTTTTTAAAAAAGAAAGAAAACCACGTGTAACTAACTTTAGCAATTTACCATTCACCTCCTGAGCCCACCAAGAGCATGGGAAGAGGAATCAGACCTGAATTAAATTCTCTCACCCCAAGAGCTCTCTGATGGAGAGTAACACTATCTGGGAGATATCATCAGATTCTGCCTGGGTACAGAAGGTGGCACCCCCCCCCCAAAAAAAAATTCCTGCTTCAGCTAATTTAAGGTTAGGGTATACTAGATCTGGTGAAGGAGGGATTTGGTCCAAGGGTGGAGAAACCTGTGACTGTACCTCAGTAAAACTCACCCTACCCTTGAGGGTGAGCAGCCCTGGCATTCCCTCCCTAGAAGGCTGGGAAAATCTCCCTGGTTCCCTAGGAGCTTCTAAGAGGTCCAGAAAACTTGTGTCCCTGGCGGGGGGGAGTCAGGGTGCACCCCAGGGAGGTGTGGGGGTGCGCACCTGCTTAAGGCAACTGCTAAAAGGCAACTGCTTAAGGAACTGAGCATGAAGTCCCTGCTGAAGTGATGTCAAGGTGGGATGCAAAAGAAACTTCAGGTTTTCTTCAGGAAAGCTGAGTGCAGGTGGAAAGAGGAGAAAGCAGGTAAGCTGGGTCCTGGAGACTTTTGTGCTGGAGTGGGACTAGGAGGGGAACGGGATTTCAGGATTTTCAAGAAGGGGGCACCTCGGAGTGGTGATCAGGGGACCTGGAACCCTGGCTGGATAGAAAAGTGGGTCTTGGAGGTGGGGAGGAGTCTGAAGGATGAAAACATGGGTCCTTGAGAAATGGAGCAAGGAATGGAGCAATTGTCATAGGGAAGCCTGGTTCTGAAAGCACAGGAGAGCAATTGGGGCCAGGTGTGCTTGGGATCTTGAGTAGTGTAGGGTGATAAGTGAGGCAGGGTATAAAAGTCCTAACTGGGTGAATATGGTCCTTGGGGCCCTAAGTGCTCACCTGAGACCCAGCAGAGCAAAGAAGATAAGGTGAGCAGCAGAAGGCCTTTCATCGTGAGGATCCTAAGAATGGTAGCAACTGCAGCAGCTGACAGTAGATTTCCAGGGATCCAGCTCTGGGAGTTGAGTGGTCTTTTTGGAATTTATAACCCCAACAGTCCTCCCTTCCTTGCTTCCGGTAGCACCTCCTTTATGCACAGCTGACTGAGGAAAAGACCAGTGGTGGGGAGGGGCTAAATAGGACTGGGTGGGGGAGGGGAGAGAGAGCGGTGGGGGAAGCGGGGCAGGATGGGGAGTGCAGGGAGTGTAGGGAGTGTAGGTGAACCATTTTGGGTCCTGGTTTCAGGCCAAAATACCCCTCCTAGTTCTCAGCCAACAGCCCTGCCTGCCCTGACCTCTGAAGAAGCATCACCAGAGGCCTGTGTGATGTTATAGTGGCTGTGGTGATAGTTGCTGCTGGTTCCTGGGAAATGGACAGTGGGAGTGGCCCAAGATGATTGTCAATTTTTGGTTCCTTGGCCGTGGGGGGGGGGGCATTGTTAGAGCATGTGGGCAAAGATTTCTGATGGAAGGGGCCAAATTAATCTCGTTACAGCTCCCATTTGGTCTTCCTGACCCCTGCTCAGCTATAGGTTTAGGGAGTAGGGTTTGTGCTGTCACTAAGCGCTTCTGTGAGCAGCAGAAGCATGAGCTGGGGCTGCCTGCTAAGGAGGGGCTGCCTCAGGCCCCCCAAAGGTTCTCAGGACCCCGTTCCAGATCCACTTGAGCTTGGCTTGGCCTCTGCCATTGCACCAGCTCAGTGAGAGCCGATGAAGTCCTGGGTGTGGGGCAGGTACCCCTGCTCCACGGGGCCTCTGCAATCAAAACCTGCTGGTTTGGACAAACTGAGCTCAAATGCAAAATAGAAACAGACACGTAAGAGCAGGATGACAGCTGTGGGGAGTAGAGTTAGGGGGTGGGGGATCAGCAAAAAGGAAAAAGGACTCATAGACATGGACCACAGTGTGGTGACTGTGAGGGGGGATAAGGAAGATAAATGGTAATGGGAAAAAATTACGGAAAAAAATAAAAATAAAAATAGTCCACACTCACAAAAAACACCCCTGCTGATTTTGATGATGAGACACCGTGGCTGAGAGGGACAGCCTGGGTTCAGAGACATGAGGTAGAGCTAAAATAAGACTAGAAACAATGATAATAGCAAGTACTTCCTGTTCCTATGTGTCAGCCATTGTTCTATGCATTCGCAGTGTACGTATTTAATTCTCACATCCTCAACATAGGTGCTTTTATAGATGAGCAAACAGGCACAGAGAAGTTAGGCGACTTGCCCGCATCACGAAGCTAGTAGACGGCGAAGTCAGTATTTGATCCCAGCTGGGATCCAGAATTCCCGATGTTGCTACCTGCTGCGTTGCTGGAGTTAAAGTGCGCGAAAATGCTTGTGTAAACCGCCCGAGCACGAATTTTAAGTGAGCATTGTCTGAGGGCCGTGAGCTTGCCCACTAGTATTCCCAGAGAGAACCAGGCAGCTGGTGGCCCCGCCCCCTCTCTTATCGGAGCCCCCAGACCTGCAGACCCCCCCCCACCCCGTTTCCCTCCAGTCTCCTCCGCTGATTCACTCGCCTCCTCTCCTCACCACATCCCAGCCATGGCTCTCGTTCTGCAGCTGCTGCCGTTGCTGCTGTCAAGGGCCCAAGGGGACGCCCAGGGTAAGGCATCCCTGGGAAAGACGGGATTAATGAGGAAAGACTGAGGCACTAGGAGGTGGTGATTGGGAAGTGGGAAGTGTGTGGGAAGATCCAGGATGCTGGGAGAGGAGAGGGGAGAGGAGAAGGAGGGAGGGGGAGTCCTCTCGCACTGCGGACTTGCCCTAACCACTGACCCCGGCCTTTCCTAGTTTCCTTGGACGGCCGCCCGGGCGACCTGGTGAATCTCTCCTGCTCAGGGATCTCGCATCCCATCCGCTGGGCCTGGGCGCCTAGCTTCCCAACATGCAAGGGCCTGTCCAAAGGACGCCGCCCGATCCTGTGGGCCTCTTCGAGCGGAACCCCCACAGTGTCTCCAGTTCACCCCTTTGCTGGCCGCCTAAGAGTGCTGGACCCTGGTATCCGGCGGCTAGAGCTGCTCCTGAGCGCGGGGGACTCCGGCACATTTATTTGCAGGGGCCGTCACGAGGAGGAGAGCCGTACAGTGCTTAAAGTGATGGGGGATGGGGCCGATTGCAGGACTCCGGGGCCTAGCCAGGGTAGGTCGAAGCCTTCGTGCACAGGGGGAGTTAATTCGGACACACATTCCCGACGAGGAGGGAGGCCTTGGCAGGGGATTCCTGAGCTGGAGAGCTAGCTGTCTGTCTTCGCATCAATGACTTCGGCATTCACCACCCTCTTCCGCTGTTGCCCCAGGGTCCGTGTATCCCCAGCTCCTGATCCTCCTGCTGGGCGCTGGGCTAGTGCTGGGACTCGGAGCATTGGGCGTGGTCTGGTGGCAGCGCCGGTGAGCCCGAGGGGCGAGGTGATAGGCGGGCGGGCGGGGCAGGGCCAGAATTTTCGAGAACGTATGCTGGACCAGGAGCTCTGGGATGTGGCATGGAGAATGGGGGTCAGAACTTGGGGGCGAGGCCACAGGCTGGTGGGTGGAGCTCTGGCTCTGGATGCGAAACTAGTGGCGGGATCAGAGTGGGCGGAACTATCCGTAGGGTGACGCCTAAATTGTTAAACGGGTCAGAGCCGGAGAGTTGCAGGGTTGTTGGTGCGGACTGGAGCGGAGAACAACGGTGACAAGACTGGTGGCTCTGAAAGACCATATTATATATCCCTTACAGGCGCTCATCCCCGCACCCACTTCGACCCCTCCCCAGATTTGGTGAGCCTGGCCCCACCCTATTTGCCTTCTACCCATACATTCCCCACCCCTCAATTCCTGAGTCTGAGCCCTTGCTGGGAGCAGACAAGTTGGTCACCTTCTCTCAATCCTTCAGCTCTATCCCCCCCACATAGCTCCACTAGTAAAAGCCGAGCCCCAGAAGCCAGTAAAGGAGGAGGAGCCCCAGATTGCAGGGGACATGGACCAGGAGCAGGTAAGTGTTTGGGATGGGAAGGAGACTGGCCGGAATGCCTGAGAAAGGTGGGCCAAGAGAGACGGAAGCCAGGATCGCCAAGGAGTCGGACTTTTGAGACACTTCTGCCTTCCTCCCCATCTTTCAGAACCTGCTGTATGCGGACCTGGATCATATGGCCTTCAGAAGACCTCGCCAGTTGTTGCCAGTGGTCCCTGCTGATTCCTCCACCATCTATGCGGTTGTAGTTTGAAGCAAAGCCCTTACTCCAAACATCGCAAGCTTGGGGGCTCCCTATAACTGCCCTCTCCTTCTCTGACTCTCCCAGGATAAGGAAGGCAACCTGGGGTAGAAATCAGCCTGGGAGTCAGGAGACCTGATGATCTTGCTCCTTCAGCTGCCCCATGTTCTGTAACTTCCATGATTCCTTTACCAAGCCCTGTCATCAAGCTCTGTCTCCCCATCTTAAGACATCTGCCAGTCCTAGGTTGTTGTCCCACCTCTTCCCTTCCTTCCAGTCAAGCTCTTTGAAGCAGGGGCTTATACCTGCCTTCTCCATTTTCTTCTCCTTCACTCCACTCCTATGAGGTTGCCAGTGATGTCCTAATGGCCACATCCAGTGGACATTTTTTAGCATTCATCTGGCTTGGCCTTTGATTACTCCATTCTTTAAGCTGTTTTTCTTTAATGCTGATGTCTTCCTTCTGGACCTTTCTTTCTCCACCATGCTACATGTGTTCCTTTCTTTACCTACCTTCTTCCTCTTCTGGGAAGCTGTCATCCACAGTGGTCTCAGTCTTCACCTTGGCAAATGACACCCAGAACTCTCTCCAACTCATATTTCAGATATGGCATTTCCGAACTGTCCCTCAGACATCCCTGCCTACCTGGCCCTATGCATTTTGCACACAGCATCTCCAAAACTCAGTCATCTCCCAAACCTCACACTTAATCCTCTATTCTCTCTTGATCAACACTGTTGACCCAAGCCAGAGACTGAATCAGGGAGTGAGACCTCCTTCCCCTCTCTTCTACACAATGAACCAAGTCTTGCCATTCTGTTTTAAGATCACTGTCAAATCCACACCCTCTTCACACTCAGCACTGCCACCTGAATGTACTCTCATTTTCTTGGGTTACCTGTAGCCCCACTTCATCCTTCTGCCTTTGTACCCTCCTCCCTAAAGCCAGACAGATCTTTCCCAAATACTAACCTGCTTCTGACAGCCTGTATTTCAGATCTGTAGTATTTCTTTCCTTAACCTTCAGCTCTCTGCCTGTTCTCCAGGCCTATTTCTGTCATACCGCAAGTATACAACATGCTAGCCTTAGAGAAATTCTCCCTAGGCCCCATATGCGCTATGCCTTTGCCCAGTGCAATTCCTTTTTCATGGATTACCCTTTTCCTTCTTCACAACCTGCCTTGACTCTTGAGTGTAGCTTCTGGGAAGCCATTTCTGACCCTCTTTGCCACCATGCATATTTTGATGCCCTGGGAGTCCCCTCATATCGCTCATCAACAGTCTATTGTGAATTGTTCCATCACAGACTGACTGTTCAACAATTGTGAGTTCCTTGACCCTTTTCACATCACTACTAGGACTTGGGAAATGAGTGAATAAAAATTAATATGCCTGCAGGTGTCATTTCTTCCTGTCAACTAGGGATGGACTGGTAATCTACCAGTCTCTGAATCATCTGACATTTAGATAAATTCAGCAAGATATCTATCCATATTCTCTCTTTTCTGCCCTGTACATGCTCCCCACAATAGAAATTCTGTCCTGTCCATCTTTTGCCCAAGTGCCTATGACACAGGGCTGGGTAATGACTTGGTAAGTGCCTAATGAGGGTTTGATGACTGGAAGAGCCTTCCTTCCCAGCACTATTCCCCATCTTAGGTTTCAGCCCTGCTTCTGCCCCTCTGCCCCAGTAAGAGACCAGCACAGCCCAGTCTGAAAGTTCAGTTCTATTTTTATTAGTTCTGGGACAGAACCGATGGCCTCTATTCTTTTTCCCACACTATGCCCTCCCCCTATCTTGGGGCCTTCTCCCCATTTCTAACTATTCACCATCCTCTGTCTAACCCTCCTTCCCCTTCTATTCCCTATGCTGCCCTGGCCCTGGCCAGCCAGGATCCCAAGGCCAGGCCCTCAGCTGTGGGGGCGTGTGCTGAGCACCAGGCAGAGGGAGCTGAGCCCAGCACCTGCCTTCTCCAGTTCTGAGCAGGAAACAGGTACCAGGGTGACGTCAGAGAGCTTCTGCAGTGCCTGCAGGGAGGACATGGAGTGGGGAGATGGGAGTGAGACTCTGAGGCCCCCCTTGCAGGCAGCTCAGAGTGGTCCCACTCAGGCTTCTAGAGAAGGTATCCCTTGCTCCTACTAAGGAGGCCTGAGACTCCTTTCTCTGGTTGTTGTTGGTGGTGGAGCTCCTGCCTTCCCTCACCTCCTGGCTGTTGGGCAGGTCCCCCCCTCCACGGTGCAGGAGGAAAGGGGGCACACCAGGCAACCCAGGACGCAGAAAGAGACAGTCAGCGGCTGCATCATCTGGGAGGGTCAGGGAGGCATAGGGGTGGTCCGTCAACACTGCCATTGCCTGGTGTAGAGGAAAGAGGAAGCATTCAAGTGTCAGAGCCTCTCCACAACTGATCCTGGCTGCCCCACCACGACTAAGGGATGGGGACAGTTACACTGGCGGAATAGTAATGACACAGCACTACCTGTCAGGTGCAGTTCTAAGCGCTTTAGCTATCTTTAATAATTTGCACCTCAAAATCACAGGCAGTCCTTGCCATCTGCCTTTCCACCCTTTTTTTCTTTCTCCCCTTCTTCAGTCCCCACCTGTCGGCCCCAACCATCCTTCAAGTCACAGCTCAGATGCCACCTTTGGAGATTTTTGGAAGACTGTAAATCGATCCTCTTCCCTGATTTCCCAGCTTCCTGTCTGGTTATACTTCTTGTTTTCTCACATTTTGCACAATAGATAAACAGCTCGCAAGGGGAGGGGCTGGAGCAAATTCTCTGAGCCTCCCAGCCTCGCCTTTCAAGGGCCGTGCCCCACCCCTCCTCACCCTGACGGCCTTTTGGGCAGCATCACCGCTACCGGCCACCACAGTGTGGGGTCCCCCCATGCCGCAGAAACTGCGCAGGTGGGAGGGGCTTGAGACCGGCACCGTGGAGACCGCGAAGTCCTAGGCAAGAAAAGGGGAAAGTATTCAGGGACGCAGAGAGGTGAGGGAATATCCTTAAACACCGGCTGCTCTCAGCCTCTTCCTCCTCAGTGTCCAGCTCCCCCCTCCCAAGACTAGTCTGACTCCTCACCCGGAACGTGTCCGCCACTATCTCAGCTCCTCGGTGATTGGTCCATTTGGAGAGTCCTACGAAAAACTCCCGGCCTGAGCCCAGGGTGGCCGAAGAGGTTTAAAGGAGGGAATGAGTTGGAAACAAGGCCAGAGATGGCCTGGTCTCCCAAACTCTGCTTCCCTGTTTGTCAAGCCCCAGGGTTGGGCACCCCAGCCTCACCGGTAAAGAGAACATCGGTGCCATCCAGCGTCGCGTTCTCGTCCCCCATCTCCACAATTCGGAGCCCCAGGTCCTGAAGGGCTTTGCGAACTCCATCCACCTTAGGACAAGAGAAGAGGGAGCAGAGCTGAGACATTCCCACCCTCGATTCCTCCCTAAAGCTTCAGATGTCCAGCTCTTCCCTTTTCCCTACTCCCACCCCACCTGGCGCTCACCTCTGGTCTGCGGGCAGGACTCCAGGGCCTCGTGATTAGGGCTGTGTCCCCTTGGATCACAGCGGTGTCACCGAGCAATGTTCCCAGCGGCAGCGACTCTTCAGGAGGCAGTTCGAGCAGCTGCAGCCCCAACCGCTGCCTCAGTTTACCCCCCAACACCCCGTGCTCCCTCTGTGCTTTAGCCAGGTCCAGAGCCGGGAGGCCAGCCCCAGCACCCTCCCCCGACGCCAGGCTCTCCGGGACCCCGCGGATCAGGGCATGGGTGCAGCGGCCCAGCCCTTCCCCAGATGTCCCCATCCCATCCACACAGACGCCCCTTCCGGCCGGCAGCGATGATTTCTTAGTTTCCTCTTTTTTGTTTCGCCTGTCTGGGAGAAGAGACAGAATGGGGGAGAGACAGAGACATGCCGAGAAGGGCATAGGGAGATGATTAAGAATGCCGAGGTCTTCCTCCAGCCATCTCTCGATGTCTGTCCCACTCCTCTCCCTCTTCCAGACCCTCCTCTGCTGCCCACTCCAGTCCACCCGCACCCTAGCGAGTCTGCTTCTTTAGGGGAAGTCCGAAGGCCAAGACCGGGATCCCCTAATATCCAAAACACCTGTAGCCCCTGCTCCGGGGTGGGGCGGGGGGCGAGGAGGGGGTGCTTCGTGAGGTTCCTGTCCAGTGCCCCTCTTGGCAGCCGCTAGGATGCGCTCACTCCCCAAAAATGCAGCGGCCCCGCCCCCTTAACCCTCGGCTGCTCGTAGCCGTACCGTTCCGAAGTGCGACGAGCGAGCTGTGGGACTGGAGACAGCTGGGGAGAGAAGGCCTGGGGAATGGAAGTCTTGGATCCAAACGAGAAAGGGAGAGAGGGACAAGGAGGGAAGGATTATATAGAGCCTAAGGAATTACACAGCCTCTCCACCCCAGAGAGCCACTCTGCTCCTAGTGCGACCCAGTATAAACCAGACCGAGTCCCGGAGGACTGGGAGAGGTCTAAAACAAAATCCGAGGGGCGGAGGAAACAGGAGGCGTGGTTCCGGGAAACGGGCACCACTCCAGGCTCCACGACCTGGTCCCTTCTCTCCTGGTCTATCTTACTCGACGTCTACCCCATTCAGCTCCGCACCCAAATATCGGTTCCCTTCACTGTGTCCGGTGCGGGCACGGCCCCAACAGTCTGGGGGACACCTCCCACTCTAGACTCACCTCCAGCAGCCACCCCTACTCCTGCTGGTCTGTGTTCTTGGCTGGGGTCCCAACCCCCCTGAGGGCAGAGTTGGTAGACAAAGGTGCTTGTCTTCAAGCCTCGGGGACTGGAGTTTTGGCTTTGAGGAGTCCCGGGTGGCCAGCGCAAGTACTACTGTGGGGCGGGGGCGCGACGGTCTGGCGGCTCCGGGGCATTGTCTAAACGGGACAGGGCGGGACTTCCCGAGGCCACGCCCAAACAGCTCCGCTTCGCTGCGTTCCCCCTTCTCTGAACTTGGCCCCGCCTGGCGAGCAATGCCCGGGCCCACCCAGATATGGCCGCCCCTTAAGGCTGGTCTGCAAATGCGACATGGACCCACAATGGACTGACAGTAGAAAAGGTAAAAATCAACGCAAGCACCCTTCTTCTACATTTCTGGTTTCTGCTCTGAGCTCAAGGTCACCCACTCACTCTTCATTCCGTATTAAACACATTTCAACCCCCTTTTGTGTAAATATAACACTAGATTTTCATTGTTTTATTACTGAAATACATTGTCCTACCCATCCCACCCCACCCACAATAAAAATCTCACCCAGATCTCCCATTCTTTCCTCTCATTCCCCCAGGTAGTCCTGCACAAGTGCTCTAGAATTCACTTCCCACTGGACATTTTGCAGTGTGTCCATTGGGTAGCCAATTGGAAACCACCTGGGAGCCTTTGTGGAGAAAAACGGAGGGGGAATGATGGAGCCCCAGGAGGAGGTTATTTGAGGGCCTTGGCCACTTGCTCATAGGCCAGCTCGATCTCCTCATCATCCGGACAGGTGGAGGCGAACTCTTCCCTTGCATAGGCATTTCGCAAGTACCGATGCACGCCCCGGAACACCTCAGGGATGGAGAATCCACGGTACTTCTTACACACCACCTGGGGGTGGGGAGAGGAGAGGGTCCAACATATTAGTCTCAGGGAAACCACACTGGACAGCCACGCTGTGGTCCTTCTTTTATCCCAAGGCCTGCCTGGTAAAACCCAGCCTTCTTGTCCAGGCATTCTAGAGTCTCCACTGTCTAGCTTCTTTTCCCATAATTCTTATCTCTCACACGAATCATCATTTTCAATCGCCTTTCTTAACTCCTCACTGTCTTATTATATTGTCTCCACCTTTCCTCTCTACTTACTGATAACCAGCTCCCTTTCAGACCTCCTCATTCCAATGGTGCTACTTTTCTTCTCTTGGTTTTATTGAGATATAACTCGCAAACCATTACTTTTTTCTCTTGAATTTCCAGAGTGACTTTTCTTTCTATCTTTCACTTGGGGCAAGGACTAAGCATTATATAACTTTGTCTTTCAGTGTTCAGTACGGAGTTTTTTGGCAGACTGACATCGTGCCCATGTTTCACAAACTAAAACTATAATTATGGGAACCAACAGTTTTCATCTTCCACAAGAGGAAGCAGAAACTGAAGCTATGAAAAATTAAAGCTCTGATTTTAGGAAAAGCCTGCTCTCTCTGATCTGGAGTTTGGCAGTGATAAAGGCAGGAAGAGCATTCTTGAAAGTAATACTGGGATGTGTTACTCTTGGCCAGCCGATTGCACCCACAGCTTATATCATGGAATTGATTTTCTCCAAGCAATGATTTTGCCAGCAGTGACTGCTAAGAAGGAATAGGGTGGCATCCACTATTGGTAGCAATCTATAGAAACCACCCTAAAAA